ATAATTAGTGTCTTCACATTTTGTTCTCTATCTTTAGAACTGGAATGACTACATAGATAATTCAATGATCTAATTAAAGATAATAATATAGGTTTTGAAATGTGCATAAAGTAAATGTTATGAAATTCGTGGTTTTTCTGTTATAAGTGGTCAAAGTTGGAACAACTTTATTTTAACTCTTTAATAATTAGTGTCTTCACATTTTGTTCCATATCTTGAGAACTAGAATGAGCACATAGATAGTTCAATGATCCAATTAAAGATAATAATATAGGTTTTGAAATGTGCCTAAAGTAAATGTTATGAAATTCGTGGTTTTTCTGTAATAAGTTGTCAAAGTTGTTTTAACTCTTTAATAATTAGTGTCTTCACATTTTGTTCTCTATCTTGAGAACTAGAATGAGCACATAGATAGTTCAATAATCCAATTAAAGATAAGAATATAGGTTATGAAATGTGCCTATAGTAAATGTTATGAAATTCGTGATTTGTCTGTAATAAGCTGTCAAAGTTGGAACAACTTTATTTTAACTCTTTGATAATTAGTGTCTTCACATTTTGTTCTCTATCTTGAGAACTAGAATGAGCACATAGATAATTCAATGATCTAATTAAAGATAATAATATAGGTTTTGAAATGTGCATAAAGTAAATGTTATGAAAATCGTGGTTTTTCTGTAATAAGGTGTCAAAGTTGGAACAACATTATTTTAACTCTTTAATAATTAGTGTCTTCACATTTTGTTCTCTATCTTGAGAACTAGAATGAGCACATAGATAGTTCAATAATCCAATTAAAGATAAAAATATTGGTTTTAAAAAGTGCCTAAAGTAAATGTTATAAAATTCGTGTTTTTTCTGTAATAAGTTGTCAAAGTTGGAACAACTTTATTTTAACTCTTTATTAATTTGTGTGTTCACATTTTGTTCTCTATCTTTACAACTAAAATGAGTACATAAATAGTTCAATAATCCAATTAAAGATAAGAATATACGTTTTGAAATGTGCGTAAAGTAAATGTTATGAAATTCGTGGTTTTTCTGTAATAAGTTGTCAAAGTTGTTTTAACTCTTTAATAATTAGTGTGTTCACATTTGGTTCTATATCTTGAGAACTAGAATGAGCACATAGATAATTCATTAATCCAATTAAAGCTATAAATACAAGCTTTAAAATGTGCCTAAATTTGAATTATAAAAATATATAAAATTATTTTTTTATACCTATTAACAATGTGCATAATTGTTCCAAATAGTCATAATTTCGTTTCGTTTCTATCTTCACATAATATCTTGATACGTTTGTCGCGTGACCGATATAATATCATGCACTCATTCACTTATTACTTTAATAATAATAGTAATATATATATAAATATAATAACTTTCCAGAGTTTGCTCAAAAAAAGTAAACTCGATCAACAAACGGAAATGATGTTTTTACTTAATTTAATTAAGTTTGTAATCATTGAATGCAAGGATCGATCGATTGATTGTAGTAACACTAATACGTATAATTTGTTCTTGTTTTCATCTATTATTATGTTTATTTATAATTTCTTTATTTTTGATAAAGCCGCCATGTGGGAAATTACTTTCAGTCGACCGGCGTACGATAAAGGCGCTCTTAAATTAATTACTCGCACAATTGGAGTCGGAATTGAAGTGATGTGATGAGTAGAAGTGCGAGTAGATCGATCGATGGAATGAATTATTAACTTTGCAGTCGTGCAGTTGGCGAAGACGAAGGAGGATGATCGTCGCCTCGACAATTCAACCGTTGCTGAGATTAGGTTGCAACATCGGTCTGCTTCCCAGCTACAGCAGCAAGAGCAGGCAGTTCAGCAAACCGAAATGTTACTGGTACTTTGTCATCGTCCTCTTCGTGCTCACCTACATCTACTCGCTGTTCGGAAAAGTCGAGATGCTGACTTACTGGGGAAACACGAAGAAGATAATCCTGAACGTCGCCCGTTCGATCCTCATGAATCTGCTGAACATCACGGCGATCGTCACATCCGCGAGCGGTTGGGGTTTGGTGCTGTTCCAAAGGATCTTCGACGATCTAAATTCCATTGATCGCAATCTCCTCGCCATCCACAAGACGGAAATACCGAAGGTGCGATTCTTCACGCTGAAGTTGATCGGTTACAATCTGATGATCGTCGCGATCATTATCGCCGACCTTTACCATTGGTACTTGGACGTCGGCATCCATCAGTACCAGTTCATCATCAACGATGCCATCCAGAGTTACTACTTGATGATCTACGTGCTGGTGCAGCTGTGTCTGTTGCGATGTCTGAAGAGACGTTGCAAAATCTTCAACGTCGTTCTGGATAAGTTATCAGAAGTCGTGACGGTTGCGACCGTGGATAAGGGCGAGGACGATCTCAGCTTCAAGATCGAGGCTCTGGTAAAACTGCAGATCATCTTAGGCGATGTCTGCGACGCTTTCAACAAACTCTTCGGTTGGCACGTCCTTCTGCACGTCTTCCACATCACCGTCAACATCCTCTCGGCAATTGAAATTGCTTTGGATAAGAACGGATCTCTTCACACGAGCAACGTTATTTTGATATTCATTTGGACTATTTATTTCACCGTGAGTGAAGAAGGAGAGCAACAAACCGCAAACAACTCGATTAATCATAATAATTTACTTTCTCGTATTTTCTTCTAATGTTGTTTCTTCTTTTCAGGCGCAAGGCGTCTTCGTTGCGACGATGTGCGAGCAAGTGAGCGAGGAAGGAAAGAAGACCATCACCATCAGCTACAAAGCTTTGAACAAGTACTCCAACGTTCCTGCTCTTCGAGAGAAGCTCTTCATATTGGCACAGCAGGCTACAGCGCGATGTCCGAAGTTCACAGCCGCCGGTTTCTTCAACGTCGATTTTTCGATGCTCTTCACCTTCGTCAACCTGATCACCACCTACGTCATCGTCATCATACAGTTCTCCTGAGCGCATCCACCAGAGTATGAAACGAATATGTAAATATGTCTTTATCTGATTACTAATTAAGTACGTTTGGTTCTATAACTTTAAATAATCAACGCAACCAAACAACCTTTTACTTCAAATTTATGCAATAATACTTATTATAATTTAATTAGAAATTTGTAAATACTATATCAATAATTGCGATACATCGATAATTGCAAAATTAAATGCATTTTTCTGATGTAATCAATTCAAAAAAATTAAGTGTATTTAATAGTTTTACGTAAGTAAACGTCACATTTTTTGTATACGCACTTAAGAATGAAAATACGCACAATGGAATAAACGTAACGTATCATTGTCTTCTTTACATGTTGACTCTTCCTTTCAAGACAATTAAAATCCTTCCTTAATGATCCTTCACATTACACGAAATTACATGTAATTACCATAAAACACTTTTGATACTTCAAACACGTGAGAAATGTTAAAGTTTTTAAGGTTAAGTTAGGTTAGGTTAGGAAAATAAGACGCAATAATAAATCATCTGTCATATTTGTGACTATTGCCTAAGCGAACTAATTATACATTAGTTCATCTTGTTCATGTTGACATGTGTATTTGTTTTTTTAAATAGTTTTATGTAAGTAAACTACACATTTTTTGTATATGCACTTAAGAATAATAGATAATTAAGTTATATAATTAAGTTGAAAATACGCACAATGGAATAAACGTAACATATCATTGTCTTCTTTACATGTTGACTCTTCCTTTCAAAACAATTAAAATCCTTCCTTAATGATCCTTCGCATTATACGAAATTACATGTAATTACCATAAAACACTTCTGATACTTCAAACACGTAAAAAATGTTGAAGTTTTTAAGGTTAAGTTAGGTTAGGAAAATAAGACACAATAATAAATCATCTGTCATATTTGTGTCTATTGCCTAAGCGAACTAATTATACATTACACAATTATTATGTAATTCAAATACTATCTCGATCGTTTTTGTCCCAAGCCAACATCTTGTTTATGTTGACATGTGTATTTGCTTTTTTAAATAGTTTTATGTAAGTACACTAGACATTTTTTGTATACGCACTTAAGAATAATAGATAATTAAGTTATAAAATTAAGTTGAAAATACGCACAATGGAATAAACGTAACGTATCATTGTCTTCTTTACATGTTGACTCTTCATTTCAAAACAATTAAAATCCTTCCTTAATGATCCTTCGCATTACACGAAATTACATGTACTTACCATAAAACACTTCTGATACTTCAAACACGTAAGAAATGTTAAAGTTTTTAAGGTTAAGTTAAGTTAGGTTAGGTTAGGTTAGGAAAATAAGACACAATAATAAATCATCTGTCATATTTGTGACTATTGCCTAAGTGAACTAATTATACATTACACAATTATTATGTAATTCAAATACTATCTCGATCGTTGTTGTCCCAAGCCAAAATCTTGTTTATGTTGACATGTGTATTTGCTTTTTTAAATAGTTTTATGTTAGTAAACTACACTTTTTTTTGTATACGCACTTAAGAATAATAGATAGTTAAGTTATATAATTAAGTTGAAAATACGCACAATGGAATAAACGTAACTTCTTTATATGTTGACTCTTCATTTCAAATCAATTAAAATCCTTCCTTAATGATCCTTCACATTATACGAAATTACATGTAATTACCATAAAACACTTCTGATACTTCAAACACGTGAGAAATGTTAAAGTTTTTAAGGTTAAGTTGGGTTAGGTTAGGAAAATAAGACACAATAATAAATCATCTGTCATATTTGTGACTATTGCCTAAGCAAACTAATTATACATTTCATAATTATTATGTAATTCAAATACTATCTCGATCGTTTTTGTCCCAAGCCAAAATCTTGTTCATGTTGACATGTGTATTTGCTTTTTTAAATAGTTTTATGTAAGTAAACTAGACATTTTTTGTATACGCACTTAAAAATAATAGATAGTTAAGTTATATAATTAAGTTGAAAATACGCACAATGGAATAAACGTAACGTACATGTTGACTCTTCCTTTCGAAACAATTAAAATCCTTCCTTAATGATCCTTCACATTATACGAAATTACATGTAATTACCATAAAACACTTCTGATACTTCAAATACGTGAGAAATGTTAAAGTTTTTAAGGTTAAGTTAGGTTAGGTTAGGAAAATAAGACAGAATAATAAATTATCTGTCATGTTTGTGACTATTGCCTAAGTGAACTAATTATAGATTTCACAATTATTATGTAATTCAAATACTATCTCGATCGTTGTTATCCCAAGCCAAAATCTTGTTCATGTTGACGATATTCTTGGTGCTCCAAGGCTCCAGCGGATCTTTATCAGAATCCGAATCCATTTTGTTCCCTGCCGATTGGCAATTCCTCGAAGCGTCCACTATCGGGCTGACACTGCAAACAGTAAATTCATATTCACTTTATGAACAAACATATTAAAAACCAAAATAGATTTTACCGGTTAAGTTTAGCGGTTTTCGGTCTTTTCTTGCGTTTCTTCGCGCCAGATTCGTTCTCTTTTCCATCGCTTTCACCTGCAACTTTGATTGTTTCCATTTTATCACTGAAAATATATAATAATAATAATTTGATAAATGTTGTTTTCTGTTATTTTTTCACTTGTTTCCTAAGGCCTCGTCGATGTTCATTGGTCTCATATCAACACCATTATCCTGTAAGGAATCCTTGACCTGTCTCATCCTATCGTCGACGTAATCCAACTTCTCCTGCTCTTCCTCTTTGGGACTCATCGTGCCCGTCGAACTTGACTCCGTTTCCGCCAGAAGCTTTCTCTTATCGCCGCTCTTCAATTTACCGGAAGTCGTCGTCGTCCTCCTCTGCGTCGCCGATTTAGCGCGCTTCGTGCGACTCACCCTTCCCAATAAAGGTAAATCTGCACAACAGTTCAAAGTTTATAAGTGTTATGAATGCATTTCTTTCTTTATTATACCTCCGAATCCTTCGCTATCGCTCGGATCCAAAGCCGCGTACTTCTTCACCGTGACTTCCACTCTCTTAACTATACTCTCGGTACCAGCGAAAATACCAGCCAAACTTTTAACGTTCGGTACGGCCGAAGGAACGTTCTGCACGTTTTCCTCGAAATCTGGTAAATTCGCCGCTCTATCAGCCAAATCGTTTAGGAACGCCGGACTTTCGCTTCTCGAATATAAAACTAAATCTCTTAACGGATCCGTGCTCGTATAATCTTTAGGTTTCCTCTTGACCTCCTCGAGTTTCGGTGGTTTTTGTTGTTGTTGTTGTGGCGTTTTCGTAGATTTATCTTCAGGTTTCCTCTTCGGTTGAGTCGCGATCAAATCGACGTCGTGCGCAAACGAGATGACGTCCAGAGTTGCGGCCAAAGCACCCTCAAAAGCTCCAGTCAACGAAGGCCCTTTCGGATCCAAGAGCGGATCTATCTTCGGTCTGCGAAGAATACAAGAAATTATTGATTGCATTTGACAACAACCAAAAAAATCGCACCCTTTCATTTTGATCGGAGTGTTGATGCTCTCACGACCCCACATCAAACATCTCATCTCCTCTCCGGTCATGTTTTTCTTCTTCAGAGCGTTCACAGTCACCTTTCCCACCCTCTAATTATAAACGCAAACAATTAGAAATCTAATCTAATACAATTACAAATTTGACACGTGTCACCTGTAACTGTCATTGATGACATGTGTCACCTGTAACTGTCATTGATGACATGTGTCACCTTTAACTGTCATTGATGACAGATGTCACCTGTAACATTTACCTTCCAATTAGCTACAGCTCCCTTCCTCTGCTTCGCTCTAGTCTTGCTCTTCGATTTGATGACCATGACGGCTCTCTGCTCCGTGCCTTGCTCTTCGCTCTTTCCCAAAGATATGCTGTACTCTTGCAGGTACTGGTGAGCGGCGGCTTGAGGGATCGCCCGTTCCAAGGATATCACGATTTTGGCCCACTGCTTCATCCATTCCTTCTCGCTCTGCTCGATGACGTGAGCGTAGGTGTTGCCCATCATCGCGATCAACATGTTGAGGAGGAGGATCGGCACGAAGACCATGAACAGCGCGAAGACGGCTTTGCTGACGCCCGGGTAAGTAGTGTTGGACAATTCTTGATACTGCAAAGAAATAATGAGATTTTGATTTCTTTCAATTGTAGAGGGAATTACATCGTAATTTCCCAAAGTAATCTGGAAGAGGGCCATCCAGGTGGTCGGATAAGTGCTGTACAGAGAAGTCTTCACTCCGGGGAAACCTTTGTAGAGGAAGTAGAACGATTGCGAGAATCCGAAGAGAACGATGATGTAGATGATGCCGAAAGTCAGCATGTCTCCGGTTATCATGCTGTAGATCATCGTCACGAAAGGTCCCGTTAGACGTACAGCTCTGAAATTGTTAAAACTGTTAAAATAGTTCGAACTACGTTGAGCAACAAATTTACCCTGCGAAAAACATGAGGAGAAACCAGGAGCCAGGAACGGCGACTAAGAGCAACGCTTCTTCGGTGTTTCTGTCGCCTTGGATACGGTAAAAGATGCACGCCAAGATGAGGAAGTTGGCCAAGAGGAAGATCGCTTTTGGCGGTGAGTGATACTAGAATTGAAACTCTAGATAAATTCGAATCGTGAAATAGAATCAATTAATCACTTGTTGCTTGAGGAAAGCCAACATTCCTTGATTCTTGATCTCATCCCCTTGCTGAAGAATCAAGTAACTTAATACACCTAAGACGACACCTATTTCGCAAATGTATCTAGTAATGACGACCGGATCATCGGTGTACCTCAATAAGGGTTCGTCGGGGTCATCGGGTCGAAGGTAAACGGCCAAAGAGAGAAAAACCAAGTGGACGAAGAGGATTAAGAGACGTTTCAAAAATTGATTCTGAAAAAAAAACAAAGGTAAATTTTTTATATATATTTCTTTTGCTAATTGAATGAACCCTAGCAAAAGTCTTCCATTTCTCTTCCAACAGTCTCTGGATGATTCCGCCATCGAGCATATCCAGATGCTCCTCTTTGGTTCCATTTAGGATGATGAACAACGCCGAATTCCAATCTAAATTGCAAATTGTCTTTTATCGGAAATCTATATGTGAATAATGTATACTCACTTGTTCGTCCATCAGGTAGAAGAGTGTCCAGGGCGTTCAACGGATACGCGGAGCACGTGATGTTGCTGTATCGCCAGAACTCTTTTGCCGAAAGCTCCAGCATTTCCCTGAAGACTTCCGCTCTTCCCAATTTGCAGGCCAACGTCAGTGGAGTCAGACCGGCTTTGTTCTGGATTCCGTTACTTGCAGGAAGTCGTGGATGTCTTAAGGCGTATCCAAACATATCCTTAAACATCAAATCATAGAAGAATTTTGGTGAGATAACATTTTTCTCTTCACATTCTTGCTTCAATTATTCTCAGCTCATCGTTATTCCCATATTATTAAATAACAAGACTTTACACATATCATTTACACAGTTAACTAACAGATTGTTAGTGACAAAATTAACATTTTCTTTTATGAATTGTTCTTTTGACTGTCGAACGAAATGAGTCATGAGAATAACTGAAGTTTTATAAAGATTTCAACTTCTTCTTAATAACTTTTGTATATAAAAAACTATAATGAATGTTGTTGAATGTTACCAGTTTATCGCAAACAACGACCATGTGCAGAATCATGTTGCCAAAGTTGTCCTGAAAATCTGGATTCGCTTCGCTATCCAAGAGAAGATTGTAGACGCTCTCGTTGGCACAGCAGGCGGCCCAAGAGAGAGGATATTCACCCAGATAAGCTAAACCCTCGTAATCCGTATGCTTCGCCGGTTTCGGCTTCTGCTGATCTCTCGGTAAGAAGAAACTACCTGAATTGAAATCATTGACATATAAGAACAATTCTTCAATCTTTCATCAAAATTACCAACAGCCCTTTGGTTAACGTTCACGCCGGCCTCCACCAAATCCTGCACCAACTCGTTATTGTTATAGGCGATCGCGAGATGAAGAGATCCAGCACCCAAATACTCTTCACCCTCCACCACGTCTATTGCCAATTTGGGGAAGCATCTGATCAGCGTGCGAGCGATTCTCGTATGTATTTTCGTATCGCAAATGATCAGGACGTGGATCAACGTTTCACCCAGAGATCCCCGATACTGCATCTGCCAGCAGGCCTCGTGATCCATCCATTTCGCTAACGGATCGTGCGGACTCAGACTCGCCTCGATTGGTAAGACGACTTGCTCGAAATCTCGAAATTTCCAACGGAGATACTCGGATCTGTTGATTATCTGCCCTTTGCCCTCCGCGTACATCAACTGTCCGAACTGCTCTCTGATCAGCTTCTCAACTTCCGTCTGTCCACCCAGATTGTAAGCCTCGATCAACTCACCACCTGATCCAATCACATCCACAACAAAATCGATCATTCACTTAGGAAAGGCCCCACGTTGGTCGCCAAAAAATATCCTACCTTTCTTGTAGTTGGCCAATTTGTAGAGAAGACACTGATCCTGATTGGAGGATTGACTGATAACCCTGTCGAGGATGGAACCGCCTTGCTGAATTTTCCGCTTTTTACGACCCTTGCAGGGTCTGCAGCTGTTCGCGCCCATCGCCAGTAAATCAATGACGAAGAAGGAGTAAAGGTATGTTTGAGGGGGGAAAATCAAATCGCCGGTGCCTGGCACCGAACGACAAAAGAGAAACGAAGAGTTTGGCTTTTTTTTTCTTTATTCTCGTTTTTATAAAATCACAAAAATTCAACATACAATATAATAATAATAATCATCATCATCATTATAATAATAATAATTTATATATTTATAAGTAAGTAGTTGTAGTAGTAAGTAATAATTATTATAAGAGGCACACGAAATCAATCTAATATTTATTTAATCCTTACTTTCAATAATAATAATTGTAAAATAGCAACAAGTTTCAACAACGTTCTTCTTCAGCTTATTCTATCCCTTTCGTTGAACTCAAGAACAACAACGAATGAAAACAAAAAACAGAAAGAATAAAAACAAAACAAATAGAATAAAAATATATATAATAATAGTAGTAAGTTGTGGAACGAACGTAAAAATTAAGAGTCTCCATCCTTTCATCATTCCATATATCTAAGACGGCGTCGATTAGAAAAGAACGATTGAAACCGAAGAAGGATTTTGATGTGTGGTGAATGAATATTTATAATGAAGGAAATAAATAAATTCGTAATACTAAAGGGGGGGTTAAATGATTTAAAAGTATATAAATAGAAAATAAATAAAGTAAAGTTCAAAAACGTTCATCTCGCGCTACGAATATGTACAAGACGTGTACAGTATTTTGTTTTGTATCGTGTTACAAGTCTATGCAAATATAAGAAATAATTGTGTGAGGTAAAATGTTCATTTCGATTGCTCTCAGGACTCACATTTTATTTATTTTTGATGGGCGAGCGAAGTGAGTCCTGAAAACAACTGAAGTATGATTACATTCCTACTTTCAATTTGTTTAATATCAATAAATAAATACACGCATCGATTAGAAAAAAAAACTTGATTTACGAAGCAAATATCGTTATGAATTTTAATTATTGTCAAGAAACTATGCGCAAATTCTTAAATGCAACTGTTACGTGTAAAACAATGTTTGTTACCTTGGGGATATGGGTTGATCATCAAAACAAACAAGAAAATAAATGAAAATAATCATAACTATCGCGATTATGAAAATGATATATATATATATATATTGAGAGATGAATGAGATATTTGCTTGTTAAATAAGATTAGTTACCGATTGCGTGTATATAAATGAATATTCGTGGGAGAAGAGTAAGATCTGAAGAAAATTATATAATATAGATGTATATAATCTATGTACCTTTCTAGAGCCGAACATCGTTTTAAATATATTTATTTATATATGTATATATATATAATAAAAGTCGAAAAAATTTGGCTTAGAATGTAAAAATCATGTAGCAAAATAAGTTAGATTCTCTATTATCTTTTGATTTTTTTTTATTCGATTTTTGGTGATTATTTTTTTCTTATTCTTCAGGTGAAGTTATTCAAAGTGCGTGTTCGGTGGTGGTGGTCAGTTGACGCTTACCATCCGAAGGAGATGTTGGAGATGCGGTCGATGTTGTCGTCGTTGGATGATGATGGTGTTGATGGTGATGGTGCTCGGATGATGGAGAAACGTGCGATGGGATGTATTGGAAGTCACTACTCGGAGATCTGCTACTGCCTCTATTCAAGCTACCTAATCTGGATGTGTTCGGACTATAACTAAATCTGAAACAATAATGTAAGTTATATACGATTGGAAATTATGTAATTATGTTTTCATGATAGAGCCGACTCACTTTCTGCATGTTCCAGTCGAGGGTGTTGTTTCATCGTCATTGTTGGCGGCCGCGTAAAGAGACGCAATGTTGCTCCTCCTGGGATTGTAAGTCTGGTAGCGGTTTGCTGATGGGACGTTGACGTAATCGTTGACCAATGATTTGCTCCTCGTGTACGGCCTGTACTCCCTGTCCGCCTCCACGGAGTACGCCCTCCTGTACGAAGGCACCTTCTGGCTGTAGTCCTTGTACAGATCCAGGTCCTTGTAGTTACCCACCAAACTCGGTTTGCGCGGTTTCTTCTTCTCGTTGAAACGACTGTAGAAGCTCTTCCTGTGGATGCGATCGATCACCGATTCGTTCTCATCGCCCGAATATCCTCCACTACCGCCGCCGCCGCCGCCACCTCCTGCATTCCCGTTCTGCGACAGTGGTGAAGCCAGATCCTGCATGTGATGAAAGTCCGAGCAGACGGACCACGAATCGCAGCAGCTCAACGTCTCGTCGCACGGAGAGAGCATCGTCGAGGAACTTTCGTCCGTAGTGAAACTGTTCCTATTTATATCGCTTGCAACCGCATCCAAACAGTTATCGTTTTTAGTCTCGGAACCGCTTTTCCTGAACGGTAATTTACTTTTAGTTTTATCCGCTACTTCGACTCGACTCGAACTCGATCCATTGCATTTCTTTCTATCCAGAGTCAAAGTGTTGGGTCTTTCGGGAGATTTGGCCTTGATGACGATCGTCGCAGGAGATGGGATGTTCGACTCGCTTATCGTTGCAATACCACCAACTTCCGTCGCGGCGGCAACGACGTCCTCCTTTTTCTTCTCCTTATCCTCGTACTTCTTGAACAATCCCAGGATCTTCGTGACGCTCTTCCTCGAAGGCTGCAGCGCTTTGTTCTTCACGTTGGAGAAGTCCTCCACGGACACGGCCCTCTTTATAAGCGTTGATTCGGTGATGTGATCCACGTTCCTCGGCACGCTCTGCTCCCGCAACTTCTTTATCGCGTTCTCCACTCCCGATTTTTTCTCCTCCTTCAACTTTTCATCGTTGCTGAACGTACGCAACTTCTCGAACTTTTTCTCAATAGACTGCAGGAACTTGTTCTTCGGTTTATCCGTCGGCGTCTTCGTCGCAGCAATCACTTTCTTAACTTTAGTCGTCGCGCTCTTCACCTCCTCTTCTTGCTGGTTGGCGTTAGTTTCTTCGGGTTTCGTACCGTTCTCCGTTGGGTAACTCTTCGGCCTCACCAGCCGTGAAATCCTGTCTTTTTTCGCCACCTCTTTCGCCTTAACGTTAGTCTCTATATTCTTGATGTTATCCGAAACGTTCTGCAGAAGCGCACTTTCCTTATTAGTTTTAGCACCTAAAGCCTCGAGGAGTTCCTTGCAATTGATGATCTTCTCGTTACCATTCGCATCTGTCGTCTTCTTCGTATTGTCTGCATTCATCGCGTTCCTATAACTGTCCACGAACTTGCGCTCACTCACCACCACATCACCACCACTCTTCGCCACCTCACTTTTCCTCTTGTCCTCCTTTTCTCTCCTCAAACTGATTCTGTTCTTGATCCGTTTATCTCTGATCTCTTTGAGCACTTTCTGCGTCTCCAACTCGCGCTCCTTCTTCTCCTTCACCACGACGTTATCCTCCTTGGGCGAATCGAAAAAGTCCGGTCTCAGGAACCTGGAGATCCTCCTCGTCGTCGTCGTCGTTGTCGTCGGCTTAACTACTTCAGTCGTAACAGGATCTTCGTGCAGTGAGGAAATTTCCGAGAGGCTTGAATCCGGACTCCTCAGCGAGTAAGTTCCGTGCATTTTCGGCTTGAAATCCGTCGGTTCTCGCAGACTCGACGCTCTATAATATCTGGGATTCTTCGTAACCGCATCCTTCTTCGGCAATTGACTCGTCGTGTTAATGTTAGCTGCTGCAGTTTTGTTCTGGTTAATGTCCATCAGGTTCTGCTGACTGGCGCTGCGCTTCTCGTACGAGAACCTCCGAGGGAGCGTCGCAGACGTCGTCGTCGTCGTCTCCGGAGTTCCGCGATCCTCGCCCTCTCCGCTTCTCATGCTCAACGTCCTGGAGATCTTCCGGGCCTCGGAGGCGGGAAGCGACGCGAAGAGCTGCTTCTGGATGCGCCGCGACAGGCCGGGTGTTAGGTAAGATAAAGCTAAAGCGTCCTCCTCCGTTAGTTTCAACTTCTTCAGGTTCAAATCCGACAGGTTCAGGTGTTCTTTTGCGACTCCGCCACCACCACCACCACCGACATCTGTTTGATCTGCAACGAGACAAGCAGAACGGAAAAGCGGGACATGCCCCGATCTTAGTTCGCACCATCTTCGGACACCCGACGAACGAAAGAAAAAAAGGCGAAGAGAACGAAGGAAAACGAGAATCCAATAATAACAAAGGTAGACAACCAATCTAACGTTAATCTAGATTTAGAAAACGCACGCGCACTAACAACTTTAACTATTATTAACTATAATTGCAGTCTCGTTTCCTTTCCTTCTCGATTTCATTTGAATCTCTCTCTTATTTGTTTTTTTAATTCGTCTTCTCGGAAGAAATAGAGAAAAAAAAAAGTAATTTGAAATTTTTTAAAAAATAAATCAGTGTCGTTAGTGAGAGTTTAGTGAAATATAATGACAACAACGATAAGAAAGAAGAAGTAGGAGTAAAAATCAAAATAGAAAAGTAAAAAAACTAAATCTAAAAATATCAAAGAAGCGTGTCTGTAATACATACCCACTAGATATCGATGAACTTAAACCAAGAATCGTCCACTGGTTTTGTTTATGCAACAAATGAAGTAAATCGTTTGTTTTTGTTTGTTTGTTTGTTTGTTTTTTTTTTGGTTCGTTTGTTTGTTTAACAATATTTGCCGGTACGCAGAGGGGGGTTGGGTGGGCAGAGCAAAACACAAAACCAAATCAAAAAAAAAAATAATAATAATAATAAAACAGAAAAGAAAAACAAACAACAAAAAAAAAACATCAAAATAATTAGTGCTTTCTAATGGAACAAAAAAAAAATCAAAGTAAAATCAAATAATAAATACAACAATAATAATAATAATAAACTAATTATTAAAATATGGTTATTTGTCATTGTCAGATGGGGTTGTTATGAAAAAAAAAGTAATAAAAAGGAAAAAGCGCCAAAAACTACCAACAACTAATGAACTAAAATAAAACTATACTTTCAGACTGCAAAAGAACTTTACACAAATTTTTGATCTCACTTTTATTTACTTTTTATTATTATTCGCTCGAAACATAATTGTTGTAATAATCGAAATACAATAACAGTTATAAAATTCGTTTATTGCAGTCTAAACTCTCGCTCTATACAAATTAAAGAAAGAGAGAAGAAAACCCCTTTCATCGTCCATCCACCCCGTATATTTATATATATATAATTTTGTAAATTCGTTGATTGTACGATAGATGGCGTGTCTTATGTTAATCGGGTTTTCTTCTCGTTGCGTTAATGTTATTACATCATGCCAAAATAATATTCTCTTTATGTTTCTTACTTAATTTTATGTTTGTTTCAAAACAAAAAATGTATTAGTATCGTCTTTTACCTTCTCCACTTGTCACTCACTAAACGACGGATAAAAAGACACAGAGAGAGAGAGAGAGAGAAAGTGATATTAGAGACGGTCTATATCGCAATGCCGACAACCGACATTCGAAATCCCGACAATCAAAATGTTGTACTAGAAACATCAACTCGGTCAATGTATACATTTACTAGTCAATAGTAAATACACAAATTGTATTATAAAAATGAACAAATTTTAAATGATAGTTAAGTAATTGATGATTTCATCTATTAACTGCATTCTGATTTAGTTATTATTTATTAAAATTCATGTTGATACTTTAACTAATCTGTTGTATCAATAGTAAATACAGCAATACCTTAAATTGTGCGGATTCAATCAGTCAGGATTCTCTACAGTCCGGTTTTAGTTTTTTTTTTTTTATTTGCAAATGATCGTTTTTTTTTTCACTTTGACTATAGACAAGTCTCCTTTTGTACGGTTTGTTTTGAGTTCCTCGGTTAGTCCGGTTTCAAATAGTCCGCGATTGCTGTATAGACTAGTTAACACTAATAATAGTAAACATTGTTATATATTGAGTTAATATTTTAGTACAAATCTTTGGTAAATGTACACAATGACTAACTAATAATAATATCGAATAACGATCCTCAAACTGACTACCATTGTTTCTAAACATTGGACAACTTCTTACTATGAAAATATTGAATTCCTAATAACCTGTAGAAAAACACCTTTCTCGATTTTATCACCGCTCGCTCGCTCTTAACAAGTTCCGACTGTATCGAAATCACGACTACCATAATCCCGACTATATAAAAAATCCCGACAGTGTCTTTTATTCTACAATAACATTTTTAAATTATTCTACTATATTTTAACAGGTACGACGGATACTGAAAAAAAATATTTTTAAGACCTAGGTCGATAAATAACAATAATTAATAATCTTATTAAGTTTTAGATTGTCGGGATTTCGATATAGTCGGGATTTTGATTGTCGGGATTATGGTAATCGGGATTTCGATGTAGTTAGGACTTTAATACAGTCGGGATTATGGTAATTGGGATTTTGACATAGTTGGGATTTTGATTTAGTCAGGATTTCGATATAGTCAGGATTATGGTAATAGGGATTTTGACATAGTTGGGATTTCGATGTAGTCGGGACTTTAATACAATCGGGATTATGGTAATAGGGATTTTGACATAGTTGGGATTTTGATTTAGTCGGGACTTTAATACAGTCGGGATAATGGTAGTCAAGATTTTGGATATAAGATTTCAATATAGTCGGGATTTCTACCGTCGAGATTTCGATACACTCGGAATTTCGAATGTCGGGATTTCGGTTGTCGGGCTTGCGATTGCCACCGATTAGAAAATACAAGGAGAAAGAGACAAAATTTCAACAATAAAACCAATTCAACAAATACCGCTCACGTAAAAGTAAAGTAAAGTAAAAAAAACAAAAGAAAATCACATGATGGCATGATTTGTTAGTACAGCGTTTTGTATTGGTTGTTATAACCACTATAGTGGTTTGCTATTGGGGATAGGATGCATTGTAGGCGGATCTTCGTCCGCGTTCATTCGCTTTCTTCCCTCGACTAATAGAAACGGCGCATCGAGTTCGATTAGTCGATTGGTCGAAGAGGGAGCGAAAAGCAAACAATTGCGATGCGATTGTGTTTATTAATGGTTGCCGATCGAAAACATTTAACCCAAGTTTATTGCATATTATATGACAAATTTATGTTTTCTGTAAATAAATGAAATTAACTTGAAGATAAATGTTAAAGCTAACACAAAACAAAAGAGTTTAAAATTCTTTTGTCGGCTTTCGTGAAAAGTGTACTTCGATTTATTTAAACGTAACGTAATAAATGGAAATACGAGGTGCAGGCGGCTGTGAGTTTGTTGTTAGTGATTTAGTTGTTTTTTTGGCACACGCTCGGAAACAAACGAGAAAACGGGCACACACACAAAAAGAAATAGAAAAAAAAAAGAAGAAAAACGCATGCTTTCCTACCGATCTAGTCTGTATCGCAAACGTCCCACATATTATATAGATAACATTGATCGATCGTTCTGATTGATTGATTGATTGTCTACGTTTCTTTTTTTCTTTAAGATATGATAATTTTTCTTTTTTAAAGTCTATATATATATATTTTTTGTTTTGTTTTGTTTGGAAGGGCTGAGAGTGAAGAAGAAATATAGCTGTTGGGTTAGTGAGTGGTGCCCTCTTGACTCACGTTGGGCACATGCACCATCACACGCACTCGCGCTGCAATCACACCAAACACCATCACAATCTATCACAACCATGCTCAATTGTATTATTATTACTAAACAAAATATATTATATTATATTACTCTATGAAACCAACTAAAGATATATAATAATATATATAAGTATATTACTCTTTAAAGTTCACTACTTTCATGAAAAATTAGATAAGAAAAAAATTGCAAAAAAAATGAAATATAGTTGGTGGAACAAAAGAGTAATACACTAACAACAAAAACTAACTCTACGTATCGAGATCGTGTCTATCTACGAAACAAAATGAAACAAAACAAAACAATAAAAATAAAAAAAAATGTTTTGTTCTTGTTTTTCTTGTTTACAAATAGAGATAGAGAGAGAGAAAGTGAGAGAGTGGGGGTTTTTGGGGCGAGCAGGTCATTAATTAGTTCTGTATAAACGTTGTTGTTGTTGTTGTTCAATTTTTTTGTTTGTTGTAGTTTTTTGTTTGTTTAAATTCGTTTCTTTCAATTGTTCGACGAAGACTCACCTCCTCTGGGAAGAGACGAAGTGCGAGAGGGCGTCCGATCGTTGAAGACGCTGTCGATGTCCGACGCGAGATCTCTGCTGACGCTGCGACGCCATGGGATGGACGTCGACGAATTCAAGCTCCTCTCGCGACTGAACTGACGACCCAACGTCGAATTCCTGCGACGAGAAACACGTTGTAACCATGGTAATTAAGTGTGATATAACTATATTTTGGTAACTATGGTGACGAGGATCTATTCTTCTATTGTGATCTAGGGGTTTTCACGTGTGTGACTTACGTGTAGATTCGCACCTCTTCCCGTAACGAGACGTAACGAGAGCTTGAAATTTTTCGAATATTTTCCCTTTTCCTTACATTGTTTACTTTTTTTTATTGATTGTCATTATGTGTGGGTGTTATATGATTGGCTTACCGTGCGGTGGTCAGAGGATCCCTCCTGTTCCAAAAGTGAGTGCCGTGATCAAAGTGGCTGAGAAGTCGGCTGTTGGGGAAACCGGGTCTGTCGTCCACGTTGATCCTCTGAGTCAAATCGCGCACCTGTCCAACGAAATAATCGGTTTAGTATTAACCCTTGGGTTATTTATTGGTTAAAGTTACTCTGGATAAAAGCGTGGAGAAGAGGTTCTCGGCGGTGAGGAACTCGAAACCGTCTTCGTCGTCATCGTCTTCGCCGGAGCTGAGTGAATCGTTGTGTTCCAGGTTGGATTTCCTCGGCCTCGAACTCCTAATTAAACAAAACAATTAAATAACATTCTCTACTACTGTATTCGATCTTAGTTTTAGGATGAAATCTGGATAAATTTACCTGAGTCTGTGCATTGGGAAACTGTCCTTCCTCGAATCTCCTTCGGTGTCGCTGTCTTGTCTTCCGAAAGAACTGTGACGATGAAGAGTTCCGAAGGGCGATTCATCCTCGGATCCGTCCCGATCGAACAGAGAACTGAAGCAATTAAAAGAGATTATGAAGATAACAGAGGAGAAGAGAATTTCAAAAGACTCACGTCATCCTCCTGGGTCTTCCTAGTTTGGAAGTGGAAGTGGTCTTCCTGCTGCTGTTGGTGACGGTGCTCGAGGTTTCGCTCGGTTCCAGACTTCCCGCCCTCGGTGTCACGTATCCTCCGCCTTCGACGGCGATCGGAATGATGTACTCTCTCGGGGATTTCTTGATAGGATCACCACTGCTCGCCGCCTCGTTGTCCGATTCTTGCGTGGATTGTCGCGAAAGACTGCTGGATCTTTGCGATGTAGCGGATTTCTGAGTTTGCAAGAGTCTCGGCACCGGCGGCTTCGTCGGCGGCGATTGCATCTCCTGGTGCTGATGATGTTGGGCGAAAGCGATGGGGATGATGCGCTCCTTCAGCGAGCGACTTCCTTCCGGCTCCATCGAAGCAGATCTGAAGCCGACGATCGGTGGAGGCGAGTTTACAGGGAACGTGACCTCGCTGCGTTGACTGGTGAGAGTCGGATGAGTTGCACCTTGTATCTTGTGCGCCATCTCCGTCTTGAACTCCATGGTGGCAGGACGAGGTTGAGGATAATCCAATTTGATCTCAGCTTTAGCGGATTTGCGACGCGGTAACGTCGCCGATTTCAACGTGATCTCAGCCGAAGAGGTTTGACTCGGAGGTTCTGCAGGTTCAGGTTGCGTTTTCGCCTGTTGAGGTTGTGAACTCTGCACCGTCGTTGGAACTTTTATGTATCTCTTGATGTCTGGCGCGGTTGCAACCATGCCGATGCTTCCCGACGCCGATCTTCCGCTCGCGCCGAACGGCACCGGAGGTTTCCGGGTCATGCACGGCCTCGACTTTGATTTTCTTGCTCCTTCCTTATCCAACGCGTTCGAGATTATACTAACCGCGTTTCGCAGCTTCTCCGTCTGCTCCTTCACCTCCACCTGAGGCTCTTCTGTCTCCGCTTTAACCTCAACTTCAATTTCTTCCTGTTGTTGCGGTTTGCTATCCTCGATGATCAGCTTCTTGGAGACGACACCCACCGGCTTCAGTTTAGGAGGAGAGGTGCTCGTCAAACTGGCTTTTCTCTCGAACTCCTTCTTGAAACCGCCGACGCTCACGCCGGGAATTATCAGTTTCTTTGGTTTCTCCGGCACCTGAGATTTGCTGTCGCTCGAGCTGATCAGATTCTGGAACTTTTCCGCTTGCTCGAAGATTCGGCTCTGCCTCCTCTCCACCACCGGTTTCGTCGGAGATTCCTCCTTAACATCCGACTCGACTTTTTTCTTCTCTTCCACCTCCGCGACGACCTTCTTCTCCGGACTACTTTCATTCTTATCAGTTAGCACCTTTTTCTTCACTATCTTTTTCTTAACCGGAGCTTTGACTTCTTCAGTTTTCACATCGTTTTCCTTATCTTTATCCTTTACTTCCACAACTGTCGATTTCACCTTCTTCTTGTCCTCCTCCTCTTCCTCTTCCTTATTTTTCATATCTTCTCCCTTTTCTTCATAAAGATTCTCCTGGCTGGGATTCTCGTTGATCTCCTCCAGTATCTTCGGACTCAACGTCGTCGACATGGTCCTCTTCATAGCCGCCTTCTTTTTCGCCTCTTCCACGATCTCAGCGCACGCCGCTCCTTGCTGTTCCAACTCCACCATCTTCACGTCCTCCTTCGATTTATTCGTCTCCACCGAAATATCTGCGACAGTGTTCTCCTTCACGATCTTCTCCTTCCTTCGTCCACCCTCGTTGGCGACGTTCGCCCGATCCGTGCTCACCGTCGTCTCCAGCTTTCGTTTCGGCGTCGTCTTCACATCTTGCGCAATCATCTCTTTGATTCTCTTCTCCGGCGTCGAGATTTCCATCAGACTTCCCACCGACTGCGATCGCGTCGGTACCACAGGTTCAGCCTTCATCTCTTCTTCACCAGGTACCTCCTGCAACAACAACAACCATAGCAATAATACCAACCAATCAAAATAATAACAATTGTTTACCTCTCCAGTGACGACTAGTTTTTCGCTCTCGATTTGAGCAGGCGGCGGATTCAACGATAAAAGAACGTCCAATCGGACCGGCGTCTGATTGGCCAATTCCTCGGAGATGTCCAAGCAAGAATCGCTGTAACCTTCGTTCACCCACCAATGGGCGCAAATCTTCTCAATGTTGGCTCGATTCTTCGGATTCACAGTCAACATTTCCATGATCAAAGGAGACGCGGCTACAAACAATCAAATCAACATTAAGATTAACAGAGTTCCGCGATGCTTTAATCCAGCTCTCCTTACGGCTAGGTTTTTTGGGTTCGAAGTAATCGCCCTGCGAGATCTGCCTCACCAATCTCTTGAAATTGCTACCATCGAAGGGCATCGCCCCATACACCAGAGTGTACAACAGTACACCCAAAGACCAGCAATCGACTTCCGGTCCCTGGTAAGGTGTTCCGTTCACGATTTCCGGTGACGCATATAGAGGAGATCCGCAAAACGTTGAAAGCTGCCTTTGATCCTCGAAAACGTTGGACAAACCAAAATCGGCAATCTGAAATTCATCATTTGTGGTCACAGCTTAATAATAAATCAAGAAAATTAACTGACTGACCTTCGCATTCTTATTCTCATCGAGAAGAATGTTCTCCAGCTTCAAATCCCTATGGCAAATCTTGTGTTTATGGCAATAATAGCAGGCGGTAGAAATCTGCCTGAAGATGCGACGCGCCTCCTCCTCCACGAGCATCTTCTTCTCGTAAAGGTAATCGTACAGTTCTCCGCCAGCCGCGTACTCCATCACCAGCACCATCTTCTCCTTGTTCTCGAAAACTGCATACATTCAACAACAACAACAACAACATCATTAGCATCACCTAGCAACCAGCCATATTATCGATGTATTTGTTGCTACGGTAACTCTTGATTATTTACCTTCGTAGATGTGAATGATGTTCGGATGCTGCACGGACGACATGATCTGGATTTCGCGTCGAATGCGAATCAGATCCGCCTCCGTCTCGATTTTGGACTTCTTTATCGTCTTTATGGCCACCTCCTGTCCCGTCTCCTTGTTTATACCGAGCTGCACTTTTCCGTATGTTCCCTGTCCCAATTTCTTGATTATGTCAAATCTGCAGAAGAAAAACGCAACAATCAAAATTAATAAGAAAACAAAGCAAACTATTGTAATTTGTTTATACCTTTGTTTCAGTTTTCGTTTGTGGTTGTTGAGACGCACCGTTCCGGTGTTCTCTATGCCACCCATGATGTTGTTGATCGCTTCGCCCACGACCATTTTGCTGCAAGATCATAAAACAAAAGTCAGTCACTTTTCCTATATCACTAAATCGAAAACAAATAGAAAACGAACGAAAGTTTCTTTTCGCACGTGGATTTTCGTCGTTCAATGACATGCACACGCGATTACGTAGCGGCACACGAGTACTCTATTTCCGGTGCAGACAGGAAGTCGCGATGCACGTGTTCCATTGACCAATCGATATTCGCGCTCAATAATCACGTGACATCAACAACACTACTACTACCACAACATTCATCAATTGACATCAACAAAACACACACGTATATCGCAATTGTTTCTGCTTTCTAATGTGAACAAAAAAAAACAAACAATTGAAACCCACAATTCAATTGTTTTAATTTAAGATTATTTTTCTTAAGTAGGCGTATTAATTGTTTCATAAGAACATTTCAATCGTTTCACCTCTTACATAAAGTTTTCAATTGTTTTAGCAAATCTTTTAAAATTCAATTGCTTCTATTTTATTTTGTTGATAAATCATTTGCTTCTATTATTGTCGTTGTTGCTTTTTGTTACATAATGAATCAATGTGAATCGTTGCGTGTTTCTTCTGTTAGAAATTGCAACTGTTTTTACTTTGATGCAAGAGAGTTGTTTCTTTATTCTAAATCTAAACTTAGAAACGTAATAGTTCCGTCCATAAGATTGCTTTAAAGCAATGCAGATTAATATAGTGACAAAGTGTGCATGCAATATTTTATCGCCTTTTCGCTCTCTCGTTTCCTATATCGAGTTACAGCATCCGATATCGAGTTACCCAGAACCGTTGCGCAATTATTTCTTCTTGCTAATGGACTATTCAAATTTAGACGCAGCCAACGTGTTTTGCTCAAACTCTAATTAAGACACGTTGCGTAATTAACTAAGAGAATGCAGCATTTTTATGATTAATAATAATAAGTGGATGCGCCGGGTCAGGATGAAATAAATTATGTTAGGTTAGGATAATTTTTATTTCTTATACGAAAATTCATCAATTATGTCAGGTTAGAAAATAATTGACGTTTTAACAATTAAAACACTGTTAGTGTTACAGTCACATTGACGTAACAATTTGTATATTGGCAATGATTAATACGTTTTTAATAAGTTTTTTTTGTCTTCTTGGATTGTTGCAAATTCCGGACTGAACGTTACTACTCGTTTGTTTATTGGAACGAGCGTTCGGAAATACAAACATCGAATGCTGTTGAACTGGAATCGATTTTCGCGCGGTTTTATAAAACAAAATCAACGTCGTCCTTTGATCTTTTCGGAAAACTTTTAAATGTTTCGATTGTTTTAAATGAATCAGAATCAGATCTTTACGTTATTTCAATATGTTCTTATTTAGATTTAGTCTTTTAGTTCTTATTCAGTCTTGGTAGATTCAGTTTTCAATCGATTGATTTGATGAAAGTTATTGGAAGTTGTGAAGTATTTGGTGAGAAGATTGATGATGAAAGTGGTGGTTGTAGAGTACAAACGTACTTAATAATGTGTGCGTGTCTCTGAAAATAGACCGCGCGTCTCTCATTTAATCTATTACCCGCTATTTCTGAGTCACTTTTATATACAGACGACTTTACACACTATATACACACTTTTCTCTCGTGCACTCACTCCTCCACACACACACTCTACCACCAACAAAAAACCAACCTCATCCTCCTCTCATCTCATCTCATCTGTCCCGACATTTTTTTCCAAATATAACCGCAAACCCATCGCATCCTTCGCCTTCAGAAGAAAACAAGAAACAGAAAGTCCTCTTTCTATAACATTACTATTATCAAATCCAATTGAATAATAGTGTTTCATTTACTTATAAATTGAATAGTGTAAATCAGAGTTTCTCAACTTTTTTTACAATATACCTGTTTGTTGTAAAGTTACAGCGATTCGATTGTTTATAACATATTATGCAATGACACAAGATGACATCTGTCATTATGCGACGCATTAAGATGTCTGCAATATTTGAATGTAGTTCAATCAATTTTCGTACTGACAAACCATCAAAATTATTCAATTTCCATTCAACTTTGTAAATCTGTATAATATTTTGAAAGAAGTTCGCAAATTCTATTGCATTTGCAAATAAATGAAAAAACTATTTATAAAATTATATAATAATTTTGATACACTAAAACAGCTGTTGTTTTTTTTTTAAAGCGTTGCTAGGTTTCATAATCCTATACATAAAACAACACCTGCTGCCAGTCGAATTGAGTGGATGCGGTAAATCCACGTAACAAACACTTTTCAAATTCGTTTCTAAGCAACGAAGAATAACATTAATCAATGCGATCTAGTCAATACTATTTAATACTATTGAGTTAAGACTAGTCATGATATCATATCATTTCTATGTTTGAAAGCAATTTTTTTTTTAATTATGTGTGTGCGTTTTAATTACATAAAGTGAAAATGTTTAGATAATATCTAAAGGTGTTACAATAATGATATCATTAATTAATTTTCACAAGTGCAAAAATAATAACGTTTTTTTTTTTAAATGTTTAATTAACCGAATTGAAATTGTGTAGCATAAGCACTTCTCAACATATGCGTCACGAAATGACAGCTGTCACTTGTCTTGCGTCAAAAATCTTATAAACAAATTGGGTCGCGTTGCAACTGCAAACATAGTATGTTGAGTTTCACGACAATAAATAGAAAAGGTTGACAAACTCTGCTGTAGTTTTGAGTTTTAGAAGTTTTCTCATTTTGAAAATTATCTGTTTTTGGTGTATACTAATCGCGTTAAATTTATAGTAGATCGCAAAATGACAGCTGTCAATGCTTGTGTCAAAAAAAATAATTAGTTCGCAGTTCTATTGAAAAATACAGGGCAAAAAGGTTTAGAAACTCTGCTGTAGTTTTGAGTTTTAGAAGTTTTCTCATTTTGAAAATTATCTGTTTTTGGTGTATACTAATCGCGTTAAATTTATAGTAGATCGCAAAATGACAGCTGTCAATGCTTGTGTCAAACAAAAATTGGTTCGCAGTACCATTGTAAACTACAGGGCAAAAAGGTTGACAAACTCTGTTGTAGTTTTGAGTTTTAGAAATTTTCTCATTTTGAAAATTATCTGTTTTTGGTGTATACTGATCGCGTTAAATTTATAGCAGATCGCAAAATGACAGCTGTCAATGCATGTGTCAAAAAAAAATTGGATTTGCAGTTCTATTGCAAACTACAGGGCAAAAAGGTTTAGAAACTCTGTTGTGGTTTTGAGTTTTAGAAGTTTTATCATTTTGAAAATGATCTGTTTTTGGTGTATACTAATCGCGTTAAATTTATAATAGATCGCAAAATGACAGCTGTCAATGCTTGTGTCAAAAAAAAATTGGGTTCGCAGTTCTATTGCAAACTACAGGGCAAAAAGGTTGACAAACTCTGCTGTAGTTTTGAGTTTTAGAAGTTTTCTCATTTTGAGAATTATCTGTTTTTGGTGGCGTTAAATTTATAATAGATCGCAAAATGACAGCTGTCAATGCTTGCGTCAAAAAAAAATTGATTCGCAGTTCTATTGCAAACTACAGGGCAAAAGGGTTTAGAAACGCTGTTGTAGATGAATCCAAATGGGATTGATTGAATTGATAGGTTAATTAGATGACAAAATGTTACGTATAAGATGTTAAGTTTGTTTTTAACAAATGAAGGAATGAAAAAGGTGAATGGATGAGTGTGGGCAGGCAGCAAAAGCTAATAGATTAGCAACTGCGTGCGTGCGTGTGCGTTCGCCGCTCTTTACTGTTGACACATATGATTCACGTAATTCCCTCGAGGGATGATGATGATCATTGGATGGGACAAAAAGATGGGAGTTTCGGGAGAGGAATGATGATAAAACGATTCTAAAAGAGAGATGCAGAGGGCGTTCGTTCGAACCACCATCATCCTCCGCGTTCGTACCATTAAATTTAGTTATAAAGCCGCCCACGGTAGCATCCAAAAATATAACGAGTCGTCCCCGCAGCACACTCGACGTCGATTGTCAGCAACGACGTCGTCGTCTTCTTCGTCGTTCGTACTCGCACAAACACGAACGAATTAACTCTTCTTCGAGGCAAAGACACGTTAAGGACGTACGTCAAAATGTTTGCTGATGAAGCACTAACCCACCGAATCCACCGGAAGGTCCATCCGCGTCACAAACATTTGCACAAACTTATCAAAAATGATCCAATCTTATTTTTACTTTTAACACTCTTTTCTTTTTATACTATATTTTGTACGCTCGTTTCTTTTTCTCCGTGTTCGTCCGTCCGTCCGTCCGACCGTCCCCTGTTGCTCTGTCTCTCGTCCGACGGATAAATTTAAACCGAGCCGTCGAACCGCTGGTTACCAATTGAAACGGAAAAATACGTGCGAATGCAAATGTCATAAGCCTTCCGTCCCACGTGCTCGGCCGACGTCCGCCGCCGTCGTCGTCGTTCCAGTTCTTTCTTTTCTTCTCGTTCCGTCTTTCCTACAGAGCGTGGGAATGTCTCATGGACACCACCGTCGTCGTCGTCATCAACATGCACATGGTCATCCCTCATCCCCCATCTCCATGACAACACCATCTCAATAAGCAACTGAAAGTGACAGTGACAGCAACAGCAGCAGCAGCGCGTTTGACGTAACGTCAGGTTGAGCGTTATTATTTCGTGAATTGTATCGCTCCGTGTGATTCATTGCATCGATCGACCAGTTTCTACAACTTTCCTTATAAAGATTCCCCGTATAAACATAAAAGAAAATTATATATGCAAAAGTTTCGATGAATTTCAACAATTTCACATACTCACATAGAAAGAGAGATATTTCTCAAGATCTACATAATCAAATGTTTTTTTATCGAGAACTTTGACAGCATTCGTTTTGTAAACTGTCATCGATGCACAAATGTATCATTGACATCTGTCATTCTTATTGTTTGCATATAACAATTATTATAATGACAGCTGTCAATTCAATTTGACATATCTAAGATATTCGCACTGAAACTAAACAACACGAATATTTTTAAAAGAATGTCAAATGTTAAAAAAAAAATAGTCGTCCTTGTCTCCAATTTTTTTTATATTTTAATGGTACGATTTTATGCTGTAAAACGAAAGACATTATGATTTGTAACGCGACGGTCACTGCCAATATTAGAGGAGAGAACGCGCGTCACGTTTCGTTTCCACAAAGCGAAAATTTTCGAAGAGATGAGAATTCGAATTATTCATTCACGATTAGAATTAGGTGAAAACGCCTCCTCCTACTTCTTCATCATAAACGCTCATTCATATTGCGCAATTATCTAACCTTATTTGAAAAACAGCGTCATGACTCAATAGCAACAAAGCTTATACTATGTACGTCTTTTTTTTTCTATTGTAAATGATTCGAGAAGAGACTTTTATTGCTTCAAATTTGGTAATTATCGTTATTATCTAATTGAAGCATTCTTACGCCATCTAGGGGTAAATTATAACAGATTTTCTGATAATCTTATTAACAGTAATAAATAACCAAAAAATATCAAAAGTTGAAACTTATTTCGCTAAGAAAAAGTGTAAAATGTAAAAAAAAGTTGAGTAAAAGTGCGTAAAATTGGAAGAATTTAATTTATTGCCAGGTGTGTTTCGAAAAGGCGCGGGCGTGTTGGCGCCGATAATTTCCATTTCCATTCATTCTGAACACGCTAATGCCAAATTCAAATTAATTAAGATATTTCACAGTTCAAAATTCCCGCCAAATTATAATTGTGTTTCTATGGACAATTCCAACATCCAAAAGTTTTTGTTTGTAAGTTTGCAACATTTACGTAATCCAATTCCGCTCAAATTTTAAAATGAGCGCCAAAAAAAAAACAACTGAATACTCTCGTATGTTACGTACGACATTAAAGAAACGCAATTTGAATATCGCGCCAGAAAAGAAAAAACAAAATTGTTGTGCATGATGTATTGCATAATAGCATAATGACAGTTTCGTTTGTAATATCGATGTTGGTAGCTGAACATCCAAAATGTTCACGATCATTGATCTAAGCAAGCTCAAATAGATACGCAACTTAATTTCAATTGTTTAAGTATAGTTTATGACTTATTCAATGCGATAAAAGGATTATTATGTAAAAACAATTGATCCGACTCGTTGCTAATAGCAACATCAATAACAACAACAATTTGATGGGGGAGGGAATTGAGGTGAGGATTTGAAGTTGTAACAGGATGCGCGGAAGAAGGAGAAGAAGAAGAAAAGAGTGGAAAGGAGAGAGTGAGAGAGGTGAAATGAAGAAGAAGAAGAAGAGAGTCCTTCCTCCTCCCAATAACCTAATTATAAACGCATCCGATGATATCCGGATTTAGAATCGAAAGAATCCAAATGGAAAGAGAAGCGAACGCGAGCGCCGACCGTGTCCATCCGTCCGGCGGCCAGCACATTTCATCCATCGTTAATTGCAAACAACAACAACAACAAAACAACAACAACAACAACCACAGCAACGATAAGAAACAAAAGATTAAAACAAAAACAAAAAAAAAGAAAACGCATGCTTCGTGATTATTTCTCTCTCAATCTATCTATAATTCAGGCATCCGATTCTCTCGATCTCTCTCTCTCTCTCTCTCCCATCCATCTCGCGTCACGTTCGTTCGTCATCTCTCGCTTCGGCACACAGATTAGACTAGGTTATTATATCATCAACATCAGCAGCATCAGAGTGGACTCACCTCAACTTCAATTATTTAACTCCTACATATAACAAATAATTCTTTCTCTCCCTCTCTCTCTCTTTCCGTATCCTAACCAAAATAGGCTTTGAGCGGTGACGGGTTTTCTTTTCTTGTATCTATAGAAAGAAACAGGATGACGGAATTCGAGGAGGATAAGTGTTATCAATCGAAGGAATAAATAAGTTGCGACACTGTGGTTCCTCTGGGTTCTCTACTCTATCTTTCTTTTGTTTTCCTCTTGTGTTATTGGGGATGTCCGGTTGGGGGAGGGAGAGGGAGTAGGTATGATAAGGTGAAGAGTGTGAGAGAGAGAGAGAGGAGAAACCAAACCGTGTGTGTTGTTGCAGTAGTTGTGAAACCGGAAACCGGAAGTATCTATCCCGAGACGCACGCCCTCGCACTAGACCGCACGCACCGCAACCATGTTTATCCTGTCTTCCGATTATCCGTCAATTGTTTTGTTTCTCTTGTCGCAGCCGCCGCCGCCACCTCCGCTGCTTGTTGACGTTCTGGCAACTGTCTTTTGTTAGCAACAATAATCTCCAGCGCGTTTTTCTAACATTTTTGAAGAGCAGCTCGAATGTCTGCGCGCCGCCATCTTGCTGGCAACCGGCCGCGTTGCCAGGCACCCAAAACTACATTTTCCTACCTTTTCCCTACAACGACACGACACACATACGTACACACCACCGCTCAAAACTACACAGTTATTAACTTTACTATATTATTACATAATTCGTTAAATTTTGTTCTTTCCAATAGATTTACCGAAAAATTTCAATTATATTTTGTACGTTTAAACTAAATCCAATTAACTATTTAATTATTATAACTAAAATTGACTTACATTTTGTTAATTAAAACAAAACAAATTTAAATGTCAAATATTACGTTTTAGTTTCATTTAAACAAAAAAAGTAGATTCATTAAATTTTGTTATTGTGAATAAATTTGCTATTTAGAATGTAAAGTTTACCTTAATCTCACGTGATCTCCAATAGTTTGCAGACGTCATTAATAATCAACTGTTTCTTTCATATTATGACATTTTAATCGCAATAATCAAGCGTGTATCAATCAATTCTTACGTCAATCGTTCGTTTAACAGCACATTACATAACAAATGATGAAGATAATTATAATAACAAAAAAACTTTGATTTTCACATCATTGAGATGATGTGGATCCGGTAGTCCGTACGTTTCGGGTAAATTACGTAACAGCGGCAACGCGGCTCGCGCTTCGCGACCAAAAATAGTTCACGACATTGGAATGTCAGGCCAGTCAATGGACTTTTTTTTTATTGTAATTCGGCCGAGAGGAGCGCGAGAAGAAATTGGCACAAAGTGCATTTCGTCGAAATAACGAGCGGCGAAAAAGAAAACCACGCACAAACAAACAAACACAAAAAAAAAAGCGTTCAATTTACTACTTATCACAATTGTTATAAACCGACATCACCGAACCGTGTGTCAACGATCCGAACGACACTAAAAATTTGATCGTTTTTTGTTTCTCACGGATTACTCAACTTTTCTTGCCTACTTTTCGCTCTTAATTACAATTAAACAATAGAAAAGCGATTTCCTTTCAACTAAATTAACAGCTTTCGTTTAAACCTAAATTTAAAAAGCAACTAAATCGATGTAATTTCAACCAAAAACTGTTCAACTTTAACCAATATCGTAATACAAAAATCGTAAAAACTCGCATTTTTTATACAAATCCAATCATTTCTATAAATTTATTAATTTCATTAAAAAATCAATTAACCATAGTTTTGTTTTTATAATACTTCAATTGTTATTAACGTTCTTCAATTACTATAAACCCTTTAATACTTATACAAATTTCAATGCCTATGTTTCGTTCTCAATCAATATTTAATCCTTGTTCAATTGTTTACACGAATTTACGTGATTTAAATCAAAGTAAATTCAATTTATTTCTAAAAAAACAAAGAAATTTGACAATTAATTTCGGCCATTTTGTTGTACAAATTTCCCATAATTTGTTGCAACGTTTGTTATAAACAAACATGATTGACTTAAGGTATTAGAAGCGTGCTTTTATAAGTAGTTAAGTAATTTAATTAATAATTAATCGTTTGTTAATTAATTAAGTTTTTTTTTTCATTTTGTTTAGTACATATGCAACTTTCATTGCAAGATATAATTTTGTAAGAAATTTCTTTAAATTCTTTTAATTCTTAATTAATACTATACGTTTTTGTTGATTTTGATTATTCAATTAATAATTGTGCTGTGATTAGTTAAATTAATTAATGATTTGCGTGTAATTGGATTAATTAAGTTTTGATGTGTATGCAACCAGATGTGCGTGTTTGTGTTTTTAATTTTTATTAGACTGATAGCGTCGTGTTTTTGTTTCAGTTTATCGCGATCTGCAAATTAAACAGTAAACAATAGAAAAGCGATTTCCATTCAACTAAATTAACAGCTTTCGTTTAAACCTAAATTTAAAAAGCAACTAAATCGATGTAATTTCAACCAAAATCTGTTCAACTTTAACCAATATCGTAATACAAAAATATTATATTGAAAACGTGATTACAAGAAATAAATTTCAGATTGTAAAAACTCCCATTTTTTATACAAATCCAATTATTTCTATAAATTTATTAATTTCATTAAAAAATCAATTAACCATAGTTTTGTTTTTATAATACTTCAATTGTTGTTAACGTTCTTCAATTATTATAAACCCTTTAATACTTATATAAATTTCAATGTCTTTGTTTCGTTCTCAATCAATAATTAATTCTTGTTCAATTTTTTTACACGAATTTACGTGATTTAAATCAAAATAAATTCGTTTTTTAATTTATTTCTAAAAAAGAAACAAAGAAATTTGACAATTAATTTCGGCCATTTTGTTGTACATATTTCCCATAATTTGTTGCAACGTTTGTTATAAACAAACATGATTGACTTAAGGTATTAGAAGCGTGCTTTTATAAGTAGTTAAGTAATTTAATTAGTAATTAAGCGTTTGTTAATTAACTAAGTTTTTTTTCATTTTGTTTAGTACATATGCAACTTTCATTGCACGATATAATTTTGTAAGAAATTTCTTTAAATTCTTTTAATTGTTAATTAATACTATACGTATTTGTTGATTTTGATTATTCAATTAATAATTGTGCTGTGATTAGTTTAATTAATTAATGATTTGCGTGTAATTGGAGTAATTAAGTTTTGATGTGTATGCAACCAGATGCGCGTGTTTGTGTTTATAATGTTTATTAGACTGATAGCGTCGTGTTTTTGTTTCAGTTTATCGCGATCCGTGGTGGTGGTTGGAGGCATTGGAGCGTCGGTCTGCGGAATATGCGTTGTTTGCGTTTCGAACAATTGTTGCGTGTAAGAATCGAAAGGTGATTGTTGCTATAAGAATGTCCGTGCAGAGCTCCTCGTTGAGGGCCGCAGCCCCCGCGGATCCCATGGAGGAATTGAGGTTATTCATCATGGGGGCCAACAAACAATCGAAGTGCATCTCCTTGGAGATGACCAAATCAGCACTGCTGATGCTGAAAACTTTGCCGGCTGCCCGACTGGCAATACTGGAGTACTTAAGCAATGTGCTAGACATTGCCGCTAAGAATTACATTATAAGAATTGAGGTAAGGAAATTCTAATTCGATTTTACATTTGTATTAATGCTTTTCGAACAGAAGGAGATATCCACTGGTAAAGTGGCACAACCGAATGAGTATGATGAGACTACTTTAGCTGAGGTGCACAGTGTTTTGTGTGGATTCGTTGTGGCGAACGCTGAGGCTTGGGCCCCAATCATCAGCACCTGGTCTCTGGAATTGCTCGGGAAGATTTCCAGCCAGTATGCGGGGAGGGCACACGCTTGCACTGGTAATAATCAAATAATTTATGTTACAAATTGGAAAATCTATTTATTTTCTTGCAGGTTTAAATGATGTTTTGCAGCTGTGGATGAACTGTCGAGCTACCAGGACTCTGATAGATATCACCACTCAGTGTCTTTCGTCGCTGATGCACTCCAACACTGAGGCTTGCATCAACGCGCTTCTGGACACCTCCGTGAAGCATTCACCAAACTTCGATTGGGTCGTCGCCCATGTGGGAAGCTGCTTCCCGCAGACAGTCATCGTTCGGGTGTTGTCTTGCGGTTTGAAGGATTTCTGCTTGAACAAGACGTATCAGGGCAGCAACTCCCCTAAATTGAAGTCGGTGGTTGGGATTTTGGGGCATCTCACGACGAGCCACTCCACGGCCATACAGAAAGCCCTTTTGGATATGTTCAATGTAAATATGAGACATTTAACACTTATATAATTCATTTAGATTATTCTGTTTTAGTGGGGTTTAGAGGAAACTGCGTTCCACGAAGGCGACGTGATCAGAAACCAGAGGAAAGCCACTGTTCCTTACCTGGTGCAAATCTTGACCCTCTCATCCAAACTGCTAAGCACGATTGGAGATGAAATTAGGAGAACAAGTAATAATTATAATTTTCCTTTCTATAATTCATTGCAAATTCTAATTGGATTTTATGCTTTTCAGTTCCGATTAATGTTTTTTTGAAACTGTACCAAATGACCGACGACTGGTGCAAATACATCGATTCTCCTGATGGTCTACAGGTGAGATAATTGTTTCAATACTAAATTGTGTCTTTAAATTAATCGTATGTTTAAGGATCTTCTCTCGAACTTGATTCTGTCGTGCGAGAAAGGCGGAGTGCAAATAATACAGCTGCTCTTGGATTGCGTCAACATTAAGACCAAATCTTCGAGTGTGGATGAGGTGACGGCCAACATTATAAAGACTAACGCTTGGGAGCTCTTAGGTAATAAACTAGGTGCATCGTCTTTATAAAGTAATATTTCAATTTTTCTTGTTTCAGAGTATATTTTGAGCGATATCGATTACTCGGTGAGGCGCAAGAACTACATCGACAGGAAACCGCTGAAGCTGCTGAATTCGCTGATCTTCGACGTGGAGGAGGTGTGCAAAATGCTGGTCAGTTCGGAGGATATCGAGTCGCAAACAGCGTCGCGCATCATCAACTGCATCGGTCAGCACAATCCTCCTGTTCTTATCCAAGCCCTCTCCTTCATCCTGCACAATTCCACCACGGACGAGCAGTTGGCGTTCTTCGTTCGAATCCTCGGAAGCGAGCTGGTGGACAAGACCAGTTCACCGTACTACGAGAAAGGCGGTCACTTCTCCGTAGTCCTGGAGCAGATCCTCGAGAAGCACTTCGAGCGTCTGAACGGTTTCACCTCGTTCAAATCGGAATCGCTGGAGCAGACGTGGCGCAACTTGCTGAAACTGCTGAAATGGGAGAAGTCGAACGCCATCTTCGCGCTGAAAACCAGGTGCATATCGAAGGGTATCGAGTACAACCTGCTGAACCTCACCGAGATCTTCAAGGTGTCCAGTTTGGGCTCTAAGTGTTCTCACATTTTATGCGAAATCTTGCATCTGCTCGATATACCGAAACTGGACACAATCCCGCTGCAGGTGACGCTCAAGTTGGTCTGCGGAACTGTGAATTACTTTTTCAACTGTTGCAAAGAAACTGGTATGGCGGTGAAACTTCGTTAAAGTGTTGATGATAATGTTGTATTTATTGCCTTAGATGAATTGCTTCGGATGAACGGTTTCAAGAGGACGCTGGAGATGTTCCGGAGGTTGAGCTGCCACTCGAAGGTGTGTCGTAACAAGGCATTGAGGCATCTTCTGGAGCGATCGCTCTTCGAGAAAGCCGACGCCGAGTTGTTCGGAGCGCAAATGGACGAGGATAACAACAACACGGAGGTGAACAAGCAGCTGATCATCCAGAACAAGAAAATCAGCAAGACGATACATCTCACCAAACATTCGTCTGTGTTCAATGGTGGAATTATTGGTAACGGGAAGCGGAAATCCATTTGCGTCCATCGTCCGCCCATAGATTTAGTGTCTATAAACACTAGGCATCTGATTGCTTCTCTTAAGGCCTGCTGCGGCATCCCGGTCGATACGCCGAACGACAAGATTGTCGATGTCAGTTTAGACAGTTTGACGTTGGTTTCTTTGATGCTGGTCCAGCTGATCAGTCCTGATGTTATGTACAATGGATTGCCGTGGCCCGAAGAAGAGTTTTCCAAGGTAATCGATAGTGGATTTTATTCTTATACTTTAATAAGCGTTCGATTGATAGGTGACCATTGAAAGGGATTTGCTCATCAGGAGACTGTTCAATCAGAAACCTCTGCTGTGGGATCTGCTGAACTTCGTGGCTTCGTACAGGCCGGCTCTGTGTTACTGCTCCGTCCTGTTGAGGGCCCTCACGGCTACGCTGATGCATCAATGGACGAGCATGGGGGATCAGAGCAAATCCTGCAACACGGACAGCTACAAGGCTCTGATGGACACGACCGTTCGAGTCATCGATGTCATGGCTTTGGGTCAACTGCTGCCGCCGCCCCTGTCCAGCGTTCGGGACGTGGTGCCATTCCTCAATTCCTACGAGGTGAGTTTTCCCAACATACACATTCACGTTGATTTGGTTATCTAAAAAAAAAATATTTTGGTACCAAATGAAATTTCTATACGTGTTACAAAATGTTTATTGCTTCAACAAAAACTCACTTCCTACAGTTGATGTATAATTTAAATTAAGCCGCCTTGATTTTCAAGTTATGATCAAAATTTCACTTTAGTTATATGAGTTATAATAATTAACACTTGTTTTGTTTGTGTTGTTGTATACTACAGATCGTCGCTATATTGCGTGAATGCATCTGGTGCTACATGCGCGATCACATCCCATCCCCGGCGCTCTTCGTTGGCGACTCCAACGGTCTGATGTGGAGAGACCCGACGGTGGTGCGACCGGCCGATCCATACACGAAGACCCTGAGGATCATCATGCAGAGGAACATCAAGACGGTCGGCCACCTCTACTCGCAAATGTTCATCACCCTCCCGACAAGCGATTAAACGTGAGTAAGCGCCTTTCCCTCCTCCTCCTCCTCCTCAATCAAACAAAAATTCATTACAACTCCTCGTGGAGATCCACGTGCAAACCCTTAAAGTTCTTGTCGCTCAACATGCACCATTTGTAACCGAGCACCTCCGAGATTTCCCTCTCCACCGTCTCGTACGATCTGCTGCTATCCTTTAACCATTGGTAATACTCGTCCGACCACGTCTGATTGTAATCCCAATCGCATTTCTTGATCACGCCGTTTCGTCTCACGTGCAGCTTCTTCAGTTTCCTGCACGTCGTTGCGATCAGCAGCAACGTAGCAGTTGATACCCTTTCGCTGATCACCTACAATTTATACATTTATACAAATTTCCGCTTCAATTAACTATTTATTATTATTACCAAGACTTTAAGATTGTCGCATTTTCTGCACAGAAACATAACAGGTTCATCGATCCTGCTGTGAAACGATTTCGGTCTGTATCCTCTTGGCAAACCCTTGTGCCCAAACACTTGCAGACTGTCCTTATAATTTTCAATTATTTGGATCACGTGCGATAATTCCACCTGAAATAGTTAAAATTTCTTTAATTATCATTTTTTTCTTAGTAACAATTTACTCCTATTGTTGGGGTGTCGTAGATTATGCTGTTGATGGGCGCACCCATCGGCCAAATTATAGTTTTCTCTTTGATACATTCCATCTCGAAGTGAATCGAGATACGTGGATTGCTCTTCTTGCAGCTCTTCCAAACTTTCGGCTCGACGTGCGTCTCAACGCAATCCGGTGTGTACCTGTTCTGGAGGATGTGCAGATGCTTCAATTTTGTGTAGCCGATTAGCTCGATCACGTCATCGCCTAAATTCTGAGGGCTCAATACAAGTACCTAAAAAAAAATGTATGATTGGATAGTTTTGAAGTGCGTGCGTGTTTACTTGTAAATTTAAGAAGACGCCGACGTGGAGGATCTGATGGCTCATCTTCGTCGCGTTGATCAGAACCAGCGTGTCGAGGGTTAGACAGCAGGCTTCGCACACCCCGTCCAAGAGGTGTTGAGCTTCTTTGTAATCCAGCATCAGATCGATTAGCTCCAGTCGTTTCAGTTTCGGTAAATTGGACATGAGCCTCTTCAGCGCACCTTTGTAGAATGTTGTATGGTTATAATTTTAATGTGTTGCTGTTGTTGTGTTTACCTAATAACCGTCCTCCCGTTCCGAAAAGCGTGACTCCTTCGAAATCCTCCCGACTGTCCATGTTGCATGGGAAGGTGAACCGCAACGTTCTCACCTTCGCGGCGACTCCTTTCACGTTGACCAATCTGTTGTCGTTTTGTTCGCAGTACCATGAAACCATGTTCATGAATTCGTACAGGTTGAAGAAGTTCATCATCGGTTCGAAGGTCAGCTTTCGGAAGTGCGGCCCGACCTGGGTGAGGCACATCTGCGTCCGTACGTGATCCAAGACGTACTGATGACAGCAACAGCAACGTTATATTTGTATACATATATATATATATTCTTGTAAATATCCAATATATTTCTTTTTGTTAATTAATATCCAATCACCTGCCATCCTTGATAATAGTTGAAGCGCGCTCTAGTTAGTGTGCTATCTCCAAGCACGAACTCTGACCAGACGTAGGGTAGATAGAAGCCCTCGTACCAGGAGCGGCAGACCAGACTCGCGTAGTACCGTTCCCTTATGGTTAGATACTTGAAGATCTGCTCCAAGATCGGATCTGGAAGTTCATCCCATCTCGTCTCGAAACGCGACTTCCTCCGTCCCCTTCTGTCCGGTTTCACCTCGAAGTCGATCAGAGCTGGAAGACGACGAGCGTTCTTTCATTTCCTTCAAACTTCTCTCTCTCTGCAAACTCACCTTTGTTGGACGCGTTTCGAGTCAAGTAGGTGCTGTTCCACAACGTCGGAGAGAAGTGATGGTGTTGCTCTTTGAACTTTTTACCTATACTCGCAAAGAATGTTGTAGATTTTCATCATCATCATAATTTCATTTGCTAATTATTACCGTATTCACTCTTCTCGTTTCTGGCCATTTTTTTTTTTGTCTTTACTCGTCTATGAAAGCGACCATTCGATCCGTCCGGGTCAACAAAAATCGGTTCTATTTAGATCGCGGCTATTTTTGTAACATCTTAAACTGCGGCACAACTTACACAACACACTATAATCGACACATTAGTGCACTTTGTGTAATTTTGAACTGCGCAACAAAAGATTAAACGAAAATAGGAAATAGTAGTTTCAAGATGAATCAAATTCACAAAAATGTTAAAGTTTCCTATCAATTCGAAATAGTTTTTGCATCGACTTGGAAACAGCTGTAACTAAACATTGCTGTTCCACTATTATTAAGATTGTTTAAGTCAGAAATAATTGTTAATTAATTCAGCAAAAATTTAATTTTATTAGGATTTTTTTCCAAATTCGAATAGATGGCGCTGATTCAAAATGTGAAATTTTAGCCTACTTCAGTTATTAGAAATTTTCCAAAATCTTTATGTTAAAATTGCTTTGGGGGGGGGAATTGAATTGATGGGACGTGTAAATTGAGAACACTAAAATTCATTGTCAACAGATATTTATTGTTGTTTTTCTTTTTTAAGGGAAAACAATAGTCAACATTGAAAAAAAAAATCATGTTTTTATACATTAATATAAAGAGTCATAATCTAGAACCTCAGTTTCTGGAAGAACCACTTGTTCTTTCCCATCTTGTACCTTTCCTCGAACTTGACGCGGGTCTGGAAACGGATCTTCTTGCGCTTCATCGGATCCTTGAGGTCCTTCATCGAGATCTTGCTCTCTGATGGAAGGTCGACGGTGTAACGAGTGGGCATCAAGTGATTGTAGTTCAATACCTAAAACAACACATTATTATTAGCAACATTGCTCATACAATTTAAATTGTTAATTATAGTTTCTATCAGTAATTAGTTAGGACATGAACATAACCTTAAATAGTAAATATAGCAATTTTGACCATTAACCAAAAAAAAAATATTGCTTGTTGATTTTACTGGCAGAGCCTCATGTTAAATACCAATGATTTTCTTTAAATCTCCATAGAATGTTGGAAATATTGATGAAAGAAAAGGTATTTTACAAATGAAAACAAGCAATAAGTTTTGAATGAAAACCCACATGGTTTAATGTACACAATTGATTAAAACTATGCAAAATAAAAGTTTGCAATTATGAAATGTTGAGAAGAACTTTCTTCTTTCACATTGATCAATTTATGTATGATTAAAGCAGTGAGTGGGTGAGCATTATAATGTTTGTAAACATGCAATTTTGAAAAGAGTTTTGTAATTACCTTAATGAAAGGCTTGATCTTGGAACGCTTGTGGATCCTGATTTTGCCCATACGCTTATGCACTTTCCTTGGATAGCGGTCGATTCCAGCGACCAAAGCATGTCCGTACTGTTTGTCAGATGTACCATTATCATAGTTATTCATGATGATGGCCTTCCTTCCGGCGTACCGTCCACTCAGGACGAGTACGACTTTACCACTTTTCATAATCTTACCCATCTTGCTAAAAAAGCACAAACAGAAAATATACAAATTAGTAAAATTCTTTGTTTCGCAATAATATACGTGTTTCGTCTTTAGTATATAAAAATCATCCAGATTTGAGATGTGTTTATCTAATGTTTTCAGGAGTTATCGTACACGAAAACATGTGAACATAACCTCAATCGGGGGTCGGAGACTTCGGGTTGTTTTTTCGAAGTGAAAAAAAGGGAATTTCTGGAAAATAGTTTCTGCATCCGCTAACGGACGGTACGTTTTTACTCACAGTTTACCTCGGATGGGCTATAACACTTCCCAAAGCTGGATGATCAAAGAAAATACTCACGAAAGACGACGCTAGATACGTACCTTTTTTGATGGTAAATGTAAAAGACTGGATTCGGTGGCGGCAGGGTGCGCGTCGCACAAAACACGCCATCCAACGCGCGAAATTCAAACTAAAGCGAGGTTCGCAACCAACCCACCACACGTGCTTACATAACATCCAACATTTCATTCATAACATCAACTAATTATTTGTTAGAGTTTACATGCAGATTTTTATTATCGTTTAGTTTTCATTATACATTATACACAATCGTTTATTATAATTTTAAATTAGTAACAAAAAATAATATATATATTCAATATTCTTGATAAAATAATCATAAATATAGTTTTTCTTTCCTTTTTTAACTATTTCAATTAATTGAAAGTATTTAAATAATTACAAATTAAAATACGAAAAAAATCTAACGTTTTTTGGTATAATTAGTTAAAAATATGTTTATGTGTTATGGGTTGCCTACGATTATTTTTATTAGTTAATTAGCCAAATTCTTCTCATTTAGTTAACATTAGTGATTTTTATTATTATTATTCTTTTCCATATGTGCCAAAGGGTCTATATCACAACCGAAAGACCGTCTATGAAATCCCGACTATATCGAAATCGTCACTATATTGAAATTTCGACTATATCGAAATCTTCACTATATCGAAATCCTCACTATATTGAAATCCCGACTATATCGAAATCTTCTTCACTATATCGAAATTATCACTATATTGAAATCCCGACTATATCGAAATCTTCTTCACTATATCGAAATCCTCACTATATTGAAATCCCGACTATATCGAAATCTACTTCACTATATCGAAATCCTTACTATATTGAAATCCCGACTATATTGAAATCACGACTATATCAAAATCCCGACTATATCGAAATCCTCACTATATTGAAATCCCGACTATATTGAAATCACTACTATATCCAAATCACGACTATATCAAAATCCTCACTATATTGAAATCCCGACTATATTGAAATCACTACTATATCGAAATCACGACTATATCAAAATCCCGACTATATCGAAATTCCGATTACCTTAAAAATGTTATTGTAGAAATTTATAATAATAAAAGACACTGTCGGGATTTCGATATAGTCGGGATTTTGAAATTGTCGTGATTTCGATTGTCCGTCTTTCGGTTGTCGGGTTTGCGATTGCCATTTTTTGTATAGTCCAATTATTTTGACTTACTATTAATCGGGTTGCCTATATAACAGCATTCAAACTCACGTGCACGCTAGATATAAATAGCACCTAAATACATGCAAATTTATACAAACACGCTCTAAGTCAAAGTATGCCTAAACGCAATGCATTAAGCATGTAATCTACAAATTATTTAGCAAACAATGCGCTAAGCAATATTCAACCGGTGGCAATCGCAAGCCCGACAACCGAAATCCCGACTATATCAAAATCACGACAATGTCAAAATCCCGACTGCCATAATCCCGACTATATCGAAATCACCACAATGTCAAAATCCCGACTATATTGAAATCCCGACAGTGTCTTTTATTGTTATAAATATCTACAATAACATTTTTATGGTAGTCGGGATTTCGATATTGTCGGGATTTTGACATAGTTGGGATTTCGATACAGTCAGGATTTTGATATAGTCGGGATTTCGATATAGTGAGGATTTTGATATAGTCGGGATTTTTGATATAGTGAGGATTTTGATATAGTCGGGATTTCGATATAGACCCATATTCAACATAGTCGAAATAGTGAATCACCACAGATGATAAGCAAAAGAAAACAAGAGAAATTGCGATGAGCAATCAAGAGCGCGTCGCGATTCCAATAATCGTGCAGACAATTGAAAACAAATGAACACGTGTAATCAATTATTATATCATAATTGAATCAACAACAAATTGTTTGCTTTTTCTTTTCAAAAGAAATTTCGTATTACTCAATCTGTATACATATACAATTTGCTCATGAGTAATACGATGATTTGCAGTAGTCTACTTGCATATCAAAAATTTATTTTGGAAATCGTTAAAACTAATTAACGCTGATTAAAAAGTTTAATGCTTTGATAGTTAAATTAGAGATGTATGCGTCAGTATTCAGTTAAAAATATACTATATCTCTGTCTAGACGCGTTGGGATGTTTGTTATGAGTTTCTCGTTTGTTTTTTTTTGTTCTTAATTATTTTCTCGAGATAGGAAATCTAGGCAGATCCATCTAGATTTTGGAATGCTCAAATTCAGACGTGACATAGTAAATAGAGGACTTAGACACCATCGAATGTGCGTATTTGCACAGGATTTACATGGAGGGATCAATTCTGAAATTATGTAACACTTTTTATGTGCATTTTTTGTTTCAAGTTTTCACGTTTTCTATTCATTTATTCTCTATTATTTTTGTTTGAAGCTGTAGTAAATCGATTTCATTGGATAAATGAGGTTCATTGTATTGTTAAGTTGGGAATTTTTTGTAAACACTCGGAATTTCCGCGAGAGGTAGACATAAATCGAACCTTCTTGGAATTTGCGCGTTCAAGTGTTTGGGGAAATTTACGGAGAAAGCTTGTGCATGCAAAACAAAACAAAAACAATTGGTTTACAAAGTTTTCTATTTTCGTAAATTTTGATATAATTCATTTTTTTTTTTTGCAAATTTTGTTATTATTATTGGACAATATTTGATATAATTAGTTTTCAATTCGTCACTTTATAATTTGTAAACTATTTCTACACTAAACTTAATAATTGAGGAACAAGAGAAATTTAAAACAAAAGTATTTGAAGCTCACTCAATTTAATTAGGAAACTAAATGTACAAATTGAAGTTGAAGTTGGCAACAGTTTTGTTGACACTTTGCTTTTTTTTCTTTATTCTTTTTTTTTAATATCAAAGAAGAGTAGGAAAATTGTTTTTGGTTTAAAAGTGGTGGGAGCTTCGTCAACGTTTCATTAATCACTGAAGGCCAATGACAATTGTCTACCTTCTTTTTTCACCTCTCCACCACTACGACAATCTTTGTTAATGATGATGATGATGATGACAATATTGGTATTGGTGATCATTGGTGTTGTAAACTAGTTAGTTAGTAGTTACCCACAGTAGAACACCTGTCTCGTGTCCGCGTCTCTCCGCCTGCACACCGCAATTTGTTTATAACATTTTCCGCGAGTGGTTCGTTCGCGCGTGAACATCGTGTCCTCTACTATTCTCTTACCGATTTTCCAACAACAACGAAGAAAGAACAAATTAATTATCGCAAAAAAGTCGTGTTCGTGCTGCACATAAATATGTTCATCTAACTGCGATTCTTTTCCGCGCATCTTAAAGAAACTCGAGGACCGCAGAAACATAACGTAAGCAGGGAAAAATCGCTCACCAATCAAATTGGTTCAAGGTAAAATACACCACAAATAACACTAGTTTCGCGTTTAACTGTTAAAACCGATCGCAGTTTCTCTCTCCCAAATATAAAAGTCGTTCAAAATCGATTAGCGTTGGTTTTCAACCAAAATTCTATCCAAAAAATTCAATTAAATTAACATATTTAACATTATTTCCAACAGACTTCTCCATTGCAAATTGCTAAAAAATATAGTTTTGATGATGATGATGATAATTGATTTAATGTTGTAATGTTTGCACGCTGCACACGTACGTATGAGGAGGATCCCCGAGATTCACCAAATTAATGACATCCTGCTGCTCTCCTCCTGTCGCTCTCGGTTACATAAACAAATCACAAAGGTTGTCATAGTGATCGAAGCAAATTGAAGCAAAAACAGCACACTGCAATTCAACTTGCAAAATTAGAAAACGAATTCAAAATTATTAACAAATTTGGATTCATTCTATGTGTTATAGTTTTCGAGTAAATCAACGAAATGTAAAAACACTGCTTTTTCGAGCATTTTTAAAATTTGAACACGAATTACAGCCAAACTGATTTCCTACTGGATTTGAATCTTCCAGTTATTGTTTCCTACTGGATTTGAATCTTTCAGTTATTGTTTCCTACTGGATTTGAATGTTTCCTACTGGATTTGAATCTTCCAGAATTGAATGTTTCCTACTGGATTTGAATGTTTGCTACTGGATTTGAAAACACTGCTTTTTCGAGCATTTTCTTAAATTTGAACAAATTAAGCTTTCCAATTTACTGTTTTTTTTTTTAATTTTCATGATAAATTTTTGCATATCTCCACATTTCGAAAAAATAACAAAATAACTGCATTTTAATGTTCGACAAATTTAAAATCCTAGCTTTCCAATTTTCTGTTTTTTTTTTTAATTTTCATGATAAATTTTTGCATATCTCCACATTTCATAAAATAACAATAACAAATACGTTTGACAAATTTAAAATTCTATTTTTTCTTTGTACGGTAGATTTTCAAATTGTTATGTAAAACTTATGAAATAATTGTCGTATTTCATTCAACGAAATAAGCGAGAGGTGCATTTTTTTTTGTTTTTAAACACCAGGTTAATTATGTTTTTTTTTAAATATTCCGCAGAACGATAACGATTTGCGCAAACAACGAAAGCGACAACGGGGGAATTTTTAGCAATGTGAAAAATAGGTCTGCTGTTGCAATTTCGTGCACGTACAGTTCTTTCGAAGTTCTTAATTAACGTTCAATTTATTGTCGTGTTTCCGTAATTAAGTTTTGTTTCTCAATTTTAATAACTTTTAACAATTTGTCGTAAAACAACGTACTTTTTCTTATGATTACGATTTTCTAATCATTCTCAAAAAAGCAGAAAAATTTTTTGGAATTTTTATCGATTGACATCACAACTTCGAAATTACGTACAAACGTTTCGCACATTTTTTATTGTACATTAATATTTTTTCATTATTTTTCTCGACTTCGTTAATCCACCAGCAATTAATGCACATTATATTGCACGCATATAACAATAAAAAAAATGTTGACTTAATCTGAAATGAAAATACCTTGAGTAGGTTGAAACAAAAATCATATAAAAACAAAACAAAATGGGATTAGTAAGTCACGGACGTTGTTGCCTATAGCAACAATTTTTGGTGACAATTGCAAGTGTATAAATGTGATCTAAGATTTGTTTGTTTCTAATTGCTTTATGTAATTATTTGTTTTTGCCATTTCGATTAGATTGGAATTATTTCTGAAGGTTTTTCTTCTTTCTCATATCCGCGACATTCTTGATCCGAGTTTCATAACTTATTTGTTTTTTTTTTTTGCTTCTGATTGACATAAAACAATTGCAAAGAAAACAATCGTCGATTACGTCTTCAGTGGTAATCGCTTGCGTTTACTCATCATTACAAATTGTTTATTCGTGTACGTGATTTATGTATTGCATTTGGTGATGTCTCTAATTTTCGTCGCTTTTATTTTCATTGCATCGCGTCCTGAATCGTAATTACAGAATACACCTGTAATGTGTAACCTTCACCTCCATTCCATTCCATCTGTTCCACAAAAATTGTGTTCGTTTTCAAATTAATTTGACAAGTTATTAATGTTTTTAAATTGATTTTCAGATGGCCGCACGTCTCTGCAGAGCGTTGGCGCGAAAAAAGACGCTCGACGATGAGGACAGTCAGTTGGCACGAGTTTTGAATCTGATGGATCTGACGGCGCTGGGCGTCGGATCTACACTTGGTCTCGGTGTGTACGTTTTGGCCGGATCCGTCGCCCGAAACGAGGCTGGACCGGCAGTCTGCTTGTCCTTCCTCGTCGCAGCCATAGCTTCAGCATTTGCAGGTAACCATGACAATTTATCTTTTATGGCCCATCCAGATTAGCGGCGTCTGGACCAAATTGTTACGAAAGATTTGCAAATATTTGCTACGCTTAATTCGTTGCCAAACATCAACATCGTTTGTTTGTTTGTTATGTAACCCATTGTGCGTGCGATAAGCATTCAAATTTAGATAATCTTACTAATCAACGCGATGATCAAGCATATTTCCGTACCTTAATCCCACGGATATTGTAACTGGTAAATTTCCATTTATCTTCAGATCAAGTTGCTATTTTACTTCACAGATCAATATTAAAAATCAAGTTGATAATTACGTAATAAGATTTACATTCTGCACTATAACGTAATTTATGTGAATTTGGTTGTCTATGTAATAAGTGTTACAAGTTTTCAGTTGGTATTGTTTGGTGACGAATTGAATTGGATCACCAATCAATATTTTTTAAATCGTGCGTTTCTTTCTTTGCACGATTGTTATGTTGTTGCTGCACTTTGCAATTGTTGCCTTTGAAATGATGTGCCGGAACTGTATTGAATTAAATTGTTGTTCCATTAGAAGGATGATGATGAAATCGTTCGCAAAATAAAATCACGTAACGTTATGATGATGATAATTATGATGTTGTTTTTTCTCGGCATTCATCTGCGGAGAAAGAGAACCGATCTCACCAATAACAATAAATCACCATGGTGATGGTCGTCGGTAGCCTTATTTGAAACAACTCTCTTTAGGTCATGGATGCATCGATGCGCGTTACCATGGTAATACAAACTATAAGTTACGAAAGAACGAACGAACAAACGGTGCGTGCATGTCTCTCGCGTCTCGTCTATATCAATTACGACAAGTTCAATGTTTCGGCTCGTGTGAGGTCAGTTTCGGCGATTATCTTCGATTACGAAACGCAATCACGAAATGTGAACGATTCATTTTTTCGACCTTATTTACGAAGGTGAACCTCCTCGTCACGCGGAGAAAAGAATATCGAGATATTGTTGTATTCCTTCCTCGATAGATATTTCAAATAGTTTTTTTTTCAGTTCGTTTGCAAGAAAAGCACTGAAATCGAAACACGTTCATTTTGCGAAATGAGACCACCACCGCACCGCGATTGCAAGTGTGAGTGTAATTAAGACGAGTATTTGCAAATCATTAACGACGTTTCCACATCAAGTTGAATGGACGCGGGACTCGCATTTTTTTTCTTCTTCTGTCAGTTCATTGTCCACATTTCAAAACGTTTCCATTTTAGAAATTATCAATAAATATATCGAATATCTATTTTCTACTCAAGACAAAAAGTGAATACACATCTTGAAACTAAAAGATTTGGAAATTTAATTATATAATATTATTATTGTGCCATTGTTTGTTTTTTTCTTTCTCAAAAGTAAATCTAAAATTAATTACATCTTCAAACGATAATTTTTGTTTGCCTCAAAGTTGTTATTGTTGTTTTTTTCCTCTCCAAATATCATAGCTATTATTTTTTTTACTTTGTAATAATATTCGATATAGGAAGACAACAATTATATAGTCACTTAGTATACATGTTTTTTGTTTCGAGCAGAAAATCAAATTATCTCTGGTTTCTTTGAGGCAACTTCTATTTTTGTTTTGTAATTATGTTTATCTGGTGTCTTGGATTTTTTGATTTTCCGAACAAAACGCGGCAACAAACATAGAAAACAAAAGTAATTGCAGTTGATTATGCAAGAACGATTAACACATAATTTGTTGATAGCAACGGAAGGTAAACAAAAATATGAATTAATTACCTATCGTGTCCCGGGATTAAGAAATCCTTGGACACTGTGGATTATCTCGTAGTTATGTCATTGCGGAGTCTTAGAGGGGTTTATGAATATTAGAAGTCAACTATACAATAGTTGCTTTCAGGTATTATTAACTAAGAGTTACATTCTCCTCTTTAGTTAGTATTTATGAAGTAAGTGCTCTTCCTTGGACTCTCCCAAGTAAGACCATGTTCTAAGACTTCCTCTCTTTTCGATCCCCTGATTAAGACTAAATTATATAATACAAAAATGTATCCATTTGAAAAAGGGGCTGCAAGGAAATCAGTTTTGAGCTTGTGGAATATACAACCCTTTCTTTATCTAATTTTTATGATCTTACCCAAATATTTAGGGGCTGAAGACGGCTGTTAAGTGGTGATACAATAGACGCAACTATACGATTTCAAGTGTAAACGTCCTTCAGAATATTCCTCAAGTTATTCTAAATAATCACAAGTATCCGTTTGTATATTTGATGGATACGTTAAATATGATTTGTAATAATTAAAAGGAAAGTCATGGCCCTAACAAATATACATATTAGTTATACAATAGATGACAATAAATTGGTCGGCCACGACATACCGTTAAGTTAAATAGATGTGAAATGACGAGAAAACTAACGATGCTACAAATTTAGCTTTTATATAGTATCTTTATTAGTGCCCGAGAGATATTATCAAAATATTGAAGATCTATGTAACCTTTACTAATATTTCAAGTGTAATTTAATTACTAGATGCACTAATTATAATCAAGGAATACCTGTTACTTATTATTATACTTATTAACGGCAACAACAATAACAACAGCAATTTAATTAACTTATGCTTATGAATCGTCGTCTTATCTGCAAACAGGTCGTTTACATTATTACTTCACTCTCTCTCGCTATGTTGATATATTGACCGTGACACTCATATCGCACATTCTATGTGCGCTTATATACTTATAATATTATTTATGTGTGCAACACTCCAATAATCGAACGGAAAACTACCAAAAACTCGAGATTCGCTCATAACACACACTTCAAACCAGTTTTTTTTTGTGCAGTACAGTTAATTAAGATTTAACGATAATTATTAACCCACGCGTTTTCTCGCTCAATTCATCGCATAAAATTACGTATTAGATCATCACGATTCCAATATTTACTTATCAATCTAAACATTCCTTCGTAAACATAACATCTGTAACGCTAAAAGATGACAACAATTCCCCGCTGCTAATGAGTATTTCCATAGCAACGACGCTATGGCTTACGTTTAAAGTTCTAGGTAATTCGCATTTATTGATTGTATATCGCGATTAGTATTGTGTGCATTCCTTTATTGCGTACAATATAATACCCCCCCAACAGCAGTCTTAATCCTGCTAAAATATGTAATCTATCGAAAAGATTATATCATTGTTTTGATACTGTTTATGGTTTATTACATAAACAATATGCTATTGATCTTGAAATAGGTATATGATTAATGGAATAACACGTCATTGACTCTCCCTTTGTTTTAGGCTTGTGCTATGCAGAGTTCGCATCCAGAGTTCCGAAGGCGGGAAGCGCCTACGTTTATAGTTACGTGAGTGTTGGAGAGTTTTCCGCCTTCATCATCGGATGGAATCTGATCCTGGAATACGTCATAGGTATGAGATTCGAAGAACAACTTCGATTTTTATTTACATTTCTGCACGTTTTAGGTACGGCCAGTGTCGCTCGAGGTCTGAGCAACTACATCGACGCCCTTACCAACAACACCATGAAAAAGACCCTGACGGAGCTGATGCCCATCAACGCAGACTTTATGTCGCCCTATCCAGACTTCCTCTCTTTCTTCGTCGTCATGCTGCTAACAGGTATTTCTGCAAGTCTATCCCCCAGCCTTGACTGATTCCGAACTTGATTATTACCCCAGTATTGCTCGCCGTCGGCGTCAAAGAGTCAACAAACCTGAACAACATCTTCACCGTCTTCAATCTGGTCACGGTGAGCGTGGTCTTCGTGGCCGGCGTCATCAAGGCGGACACGGCCAATTGGAAGATCGCCAAGGAGGATATTCCGGAAGGAGTCAAAGGAGGCGAGGGGGGTTTTCTTCCATTCGGCGTTGCCGGGGTGATGGCCGGAGCTGCAAAGTGTTTCTACGGTTTCGTCGGCTTCGATTGCGTGGCGACGACCGGCGAAGAGGCCAAGAAACCACAGAAGAACATTCCTTTGGCCATCATCTTCTCGCTGATCATCATCTTCTTGGCCTACTTTGGCGTCTCCACTGTACTCACAATGATGTGGCCCTACTACGATCAGGTACGCAATTATCGACGTAACATATTCATCATCATCAAGTTCTTGTGATTGTGTTTCAGGACGCGAACGCACCGTTTCCGTACGTCTTCGAAAAGGTCGGATGGCCTGTGATCAAGTGGATCGTCACTATCGGAGCGATCTTCGCCCTCTGCACCAGCATGTTGGGAGCCATGTTCCCGCTTCCCAGGGTCATCTACGCCATGTCCAATGATGGATTACTCTTTAAGTTTCTGGCCTCAGTTCATCCCAAAACTCAGACACCCATCAAAGCCACCATCATCTCAGGAATATTCTCTGGTATACATATTATAATTGATTACTTTTAGTTACTATAGTTACAGTTTCATAGATTGCAACAGCAATAGAAAAATATGTTCATTTTTGTTTCTATAGTTCAGAAATAAAATGTAATCAATTAAGATTCCTAACAAAGAAATAATTGATTAGATCTCATCTATTAGTTTACGTCAGTTGGAAAACAATAATGATATTAAAAAGCAAAAATCTGTAGATCTATCATTATTTTTCATTGATAATTCTAATACATATTTCAGGTATTATGGCGGCAATCTTTGATCTTCAACAATTGGTGGACATGATGTCCATTGGTACTCTGCTAGCTTACACCATTGTGGCCATCTGCGTGCTAATCTTAAGGTAATAAACCAAAAAAACGCAATACCATATACAAAAATACCATATTTTCACAATAGGTATGACGATAATAAAAACTACGAGGATGCTGTGAAAACACAGCAAAAGCCAGAGTTGTCACTATTCGATTTCTTCCGGCGACTCTTCAACCTGAACATGACCAAAGAGCCCAGCAGATTCTCTTCGGGCGTCACCAATTGGAGCGTCAGCACTTTCTGTACATTTCTCATTTCTTTATAATTATCGACCATTGTTAATCAACGTCGCTTTCCTCAAGGCATTCTCGCTGCTGCCATCTGCGCCAACATCATCTACTCGGATGGCTTCCAGAACTACTACAGCCTCATCAGCTTCGTCGTCCTGGTCATCGTCACCCTCATCACCATCTTCATCATCTACAGGCAACCCGTCCACGACATTAAACTAGCCTTTAAGGTAAGCTTCACACTTTCAACCGATAATCAGCGATAATCGGGAGCCATTTGATTAACACCGATTCAGTGAGCAAACATAGATTAAGACTGTAATCTAATAATTTGCGTAACAAAAACGTATGTTTTTTTTTTCGTTTTGTTATATTTTAGGTACCGTGCGTTCCTCTTCTGCCATGCCTCAGCATCCTGATCAATCTCTACCTCATGATGGAACTGGACTTGCACACGTGGATTAGATTCGTCGTCTGGCTTGTCATAGGTGATTGTCTTCTCCTCCTCTCCTATCGTCATTGTTCCTAAGAAATCATATTATTTTGTTTCTTTAAATTGTCGTATCCTAGGTAACAATTTTAGAAAGCATTTTGTTTCAATTTCTATCGGCACACTTCGTTGAGAGATTAGAGCTATCGATATATAAATCGAATCAAATCCATGTTACCAATATTAAATTACATAAGGTGGTATCGATAGTTTTCAGATTAGAAAATCTCAATTACAACACAATAACAATTACCACTTACACCGATTTAAGTATTATTTATCATTGATACGAGTGCATAATATCCAATCAATACCTGATAATTTTTAGTTTGTCCACTTAATTTTTTCCTAAATACTAGAAATCGAGTACACATATATAGTATATTTTTTTCAATTTTGTCGCAGGTTTTTTAATCTACTTCTTCTACGGTATAAGAAATAGCACCGAGGGTGAGAATAGAGCAAACTTGATTGGCGCGAAGAGACCTAGCTTGGCTGCAACCATCTCTGTAAAGTCCGAGAAGAAGCTGGAATTGGAGACCGATACCAAAGGTCGGCCCAACGAGCAAGTCACCAAGTTCTAATTATATCTTAATTGTGATCTTAATTTAATATATGTATGATATGTAAAATAAACCTATGAACTTCTTCTCTTCTACTTTTCCTAGGATCACAATAATGTCCTAGGTTTAATAGATTTCGGAAGAAATTGACAAAAAAAAAATCGGACAGAACGACGACGACTTAAACCTTTTCTGAATCGCTCGTCGTTCGCACATTGACGTCTACGATTACTAGATTAGGACATTTTTAAGTGTGTTGTTATTATAATGTGATCGATACACGACCGGCGCTCGCACACTCACATAAAGTGTAATTAAGATAAGGTCTCTTTATCTTTGAAATCGCGTAACAATCGTTCCCAGTCTTGTCCCGACGATCGTTTCAATCGTCTCTTCACATCTTCAAAACCCAAATAAAAGATACAATGGATTAAAAACAACTGAAAAATCATATAAAAAAATAAGTATACCAGAGCTACACAAATTTTAAACATTACTAAAGTCATGTAAGTATTCTATATATATATATATATGATCACTAAAATTATTAACACTACTTAAGTCATAAAATGTATACTTTACATAAAGTAGGTGTTGTTGAAACATGACACCTGATTACAAATACTTTTTTCATTGTGATAACTTCGAGTATTTGTCGCATTGAAAAGATAGATAAGCAGTCTATATTTTCTTCGTATCAAGTCAACAATGTATTGCGATTCGTTGATGCTTCACATCGCAAGTCCGGCTCTGGACGAGATTCTTTGATGGATCAATTAATGATCATTGATTTAACAGGTCTCGAGAGTTCGTTCTCAATTTAGTCTCGAAATCGATATACTCACGCACGCACGCACTCTACTTCAAGCAACAAACTTAAGTCACACTTAGATTTTTAAGCAACAAAAAACAAATATAAATAAAACGATGCAGGGCAATCTTCTTAGCAACGGTAAGCCAACAGAGATTATCACACACTTTAATCTAATCTATCGTCACTTTGTTTTTGCAAATAAATAAAGAGAAAACAAAAAAACAGCAACGTTAAGTTGATTTTCAGTTTACTGAACTTCTCACGTAATAAAAAGCTGTAAATTTAGAACAGTGTCATTAATCATAGTCTAATTCAGGGTTTTCCAAACTGTGAGGCGCGCCGAAAAGCAGTGTTTTTACATTTCATTGATATTCTCGAAAACTATAATACTTAGAATGAATGCATAAGAGCAATGTGTTTTAGTGTTTTTCTCAAAAACTATAATAGGTAGAAAAGATCCAAAATATGCATATAAAAGTTCGATATTTGGGGAATACAATGT